TGAGCCATAAGGTTGTAAAGTGCACTTAGTCTTTCGGTTTATTGCTGTTTTAACACAGAATGGATATTAGCACACTCAATATACTTGAACAGATAGAATTTGAATTAGGTTGCCTGAAGTGTAGCTGTAACTTTCTGATTGGCACCTGCTCTGCCATGTTTTGCCTAACATAAATTGCCATCAGTCACTGAGCTGTCAATCTAAATTTTCACTAAATGACTGTGCTCTTCATGAAGCATCCTGTGTTCTAAAAGGGCCTGCAAGAAGATGTCTAGAATCCCTTTGCTTTCATCCTTAATTTGTGTAGATCCTGGATGAGCAGATGAAGTTCACTGTAATGCTGATGTTTTGGTTGCCAGCATGACTACCAGTTCTATATAGTCCTTATTCAAGTTCTGGGCTTACTTAAATAGGTGGAATGCTAACTTGCTAGACTACAGTTGCATTAATTCCAGTGACATTTCATAAATGTTCACTTTTTTTTTTTCTACCTCTCTCCCTGTTTTAGTGAATTTAAATGATTGTACAAACTGTTGTGATGAATGGATCACAATGCACTGAAAGCAATTTCAGTGCCTGTTAAGTCCACCATTTCAGATCAAATCAGTGAGAACAGAGAACTAATCTATATAAAGCCCATCACAAGACTGGCAAAAAATAATTTTACTGGAACTTCACTAGTATTCTGGATCTGTGTAGCAAAGCTGTTTTGGAAAACTTGTCTATCCCATCTGTTGTCCTTAAAGAAAATTAATAAAAAGTGCCAGGACAGCATCAGGTGATGTTCAGGAGGGTAGAAGGAAAGCAACAGAAGAATACTTATAATCCTTACATGATTTACCATGACACTTTCATCTGGAACTTAGCAATAGTTTCTGAGCCTGAAGGAGAAGATTCCTTGGTTTTCTTTTCAATGGGTGGAGTATATTACTATAGAAAACTCATACCATATTCTAAATCCTGCTTACACATGTCACATTAAAAAAAAACCAAAAAGAGGAAATGCAGAGTAATATTTAGATCAGAGTAGGTGAACCCAAGAAGTCATGTCCTAGATGTGTCATTTAATGACTGAATTAATGACTCTTAAGTGGTTTATTGCATCCTACCTTGGAACAGTTGCCAAGAATAGCAAGCACAGTTCAGGACTTGGTGTGGTGGCTTTTTGTATTAATTGAATGAAAAAAATACATTGGAGCAAATGTGATCAAAGGTTGTAAATCTAGACAGAAAAGTTTAAAAATAATCCATGAGAACATTATACTATTTCAGCAGTTGAAAATAAAGTGAATATATAGAATTGTGCAAGCCTGGATTGAACAGCCCACTTGGTAGTTCAACCTATCATTACTGTTAGTGTGATTTAGAATCTGTGGGTGAAATGCTTCAAATACTCAGATCTGCTGCTTTGGACAATCATTTTGTATCAGTTTAACTCTACCACAGGAAAGAAAGTATTTTTAGTCTTCGTTTCTTTTTCTTAACCTACAATTTACCTATGTGCTCTTAAATTCCCAGAAATCAGAAAATATATTTGAATCTGTGTAAGTATACATCCCACTGTAAGCAAGTTGCATCTCTTGTAATGGACCTAGATTAACCTTCTGAGAAGTTCTTTTTGGTTTGAAAAAATAAAGCAAAAAACCTTCCTAACAACAAACCCCTCTAAATAAAACAAAACCCAAACAAACCCCAGCAACCCAAAATTTCTTCAGTATTGCAGGTAGTGTTTTAAATAGACTCCTGTAATCTGTGAATATCCTTCCTACCATCCTCCCAAGGACTCTCTTAAAAGGATTTATCTCTACTGCAAAAAACTTTGTTTGGGGAGGAACCTAGTTAAAAAGACATTGATTCGTTTTTGATTTCTACAGGAACTCATTTTCCCAGTTTTCAGCTTTCTCCTGTAGTGTTCTTGCAAAATAAGAACAAGAGCCTGGAAAGCCTCTTCAAAGAGTTTAGTTATTGACTGCTGTATTGGAAGCTCGTACTCCTGAGGCCAGTGACTTCTGTGTTACTACTAGTTCCAGTCAAGCTCATTCCTTCTGTTATCTAAAAACTGTAACAGCTCTGGAACAATGACATTCCTCCTCTTGTAATCCCTTGTAATTCATGCTTCCTTTTGAAGATACCATCAAGCAAGTTAGTTTCCAAATATGCCTTTTGACTTAAAAAGCAAACTGTCACTGAATTGCTAATAAGCTGACTGTCCTATAAAAAACTCTTAATTAGACTCAAATATTTTAGTCACTTACATAATTCTGCTTGAGGGTACTTACTTGCTGGGTTCTTACCAACATAGATGCTCTTCCTGTACAGCTGTTATGTGTGAACTGAGAACAGTGTGATTAATGCTTACTGATGATTAAAGCCTACTTTCACAGTAGTCTTTCAAAGCTCACCCTAGTTCACCTTCGTTTTACTGTTTTTTCCAACTGCTTTGTTGTTAAGACTCAGTACTGCACACTACAGATAGATGCTGTGAATTTTTCCTCAGAGTCTTGAGGGTTTTAATAGTAAACCTGCTTATGACCATGTGAGGGGTGTGTGTAGGCTTTGTGGTTGAGTAGGGCTTTTCTCGGGCCAGGGATGCATGTAAGAAGTCTTGCATTTTAATTGTCTGTGCACATTTACAAACAGAATAAACAATGCTTTATGCTGTACAGTGTCAAGTTCCTTGTATTACAACTGATGAAAGGAATGATTATAATTTCTTAGCTTGCTTGTTCAAGCTTCAGGAGTTCTGATGAGGCACATCAGACAAGATGTGGGTGCCTTGAGGTTGTCAGACTGCTTTTGGACTCCCCAAAGCTGGTACCTTTGTACTCATTGCTCATTTAGAACATCAGGTTTTAATATATTGGTTTGCTGCTCCTGCTTTCATCTTTTACCTAATTAGAGGGAACTTGAGTTATTTTTTTTACGTTTTGACTGCCAGACTCCCTTTTAAACCTACTAACAAGACACAACTTCCAGTCCAATGTGTTGAAGTGTGATATTTACACCTGGCTAACAGTTGTCCCTGAAGCACCTCTCCACACTGTTCTCAGTGGAGTGGCAAAGCAGCTGACCAATGATGACATACTGTGACTTGTCCATCAAGGAGTTGATAATGAAGGCATTGCTATGACATGCAGATATGTTTTTCAGGCATACAACCCACAGATGATCATTCAACCCCCTTACAGTATTCTGGTGGAGAATAAGCCTAGTGTTCCAGGAAAGAGTAGCAATCCAGAGTTAATCTAGTCTAAAAATATGTAGCTTTGCCTATGCAAGCATGTACATACGCATATTTTAAGACTGTGACAGTCTGGTGACCTAGATTTGTGTTTCCTCAAGCCCGAATGAACCAATGATGAAATATTGCCAGGGAGACAAACCTCTCCATGAAATCATAGCAGAGCTTTGCTTTTAACTGTAGCACTAGCAGCGACAATTTACCTTTAACTGGGTGGGTGTAGTTCTATATCTGACAGTGTCAGTGTTAGCTGTCCTACGTTTGCCTAGTTTAGAAATGCAAATATTTTTTGGCTTGTGTTTTACTTCAAACACTCTACTGGCAGGGGTTTGAAATGGAAGGCAGAAAAGTGTTCATATCTTCATAGCATTAAGAAGAGATAGTATTAAGCTGAGATTTTGCATTCTTGGTTTACTTAGCAGTGTAGTTCTAAACATACAGATAACATCATGGTCCATCAACCGTCAGATACCATAGACATTAGTGTAGGAATGGTACAAATTAAGCCCTTTTCAGTCAGATAGTCTTATATCTAGCATTTCATACTGTTAGTGAGTGGTCTTTCAAGTAGTAAAAAAAACCCTGAAGTAGGATGTTTTGCTTTTGAGAGGCAGATGGATAGGCTGCCACAAAAATATGGGGGAGGAAGACATCTTAGAGCTGAAGTTGCTCCTAAGTGTTATCAGTAGGGAAATTACTTACCTGCTGTCTGTGCCTTGGATAAGGATGCAATCACTCAGCTCAGTGCATTGGTGCATTGATGAAATGTAAGTGCTGTTTCCTTCCTATTCCTTAAAGTGATTTTGCCAAACAGTACTAAATATGTGGGCTGTGAAAAGATGTAGAACTGGGGTTTGAGTTTTTGTTTAATTGCTGGAATTTGTTCTGCTCAAATTATCATCATTAGCAGTAGTCTAAAGAATATGATGTCATTCTATTTAAAATACATGTGCATGAATTTATGTGGAAAGGATTTTGGGATTCTAGTAAGTTCTGTACTTAAGCAGAAAGGGCTTCAGTTCTGAAGAGTTCTTGGAGATCACTGTGGAAAGTCTAATGATGGAAGAGTGGCTTGGAGTGTTATGACAGCAAGAGAAGACACTCAAGACAAAACCCAGACTATCTACAAAATAAAACAAAAAGCATCTGTAGTTTCCTGTTTCTGTAGACTAATGCTGTCAAATTCAGTGAAGTTTCTGAAGTAAAAAATGGCTCATTTTTGAAGCTCTGGGTAGCTGCACAACAGGATGAAACCATCTTGAGCAAAACCACATGTGTTGCACACATAAGAATCTTTGGAAAGAAGAAGTTAAATACTAATAAATTCCTGCTTTTGTTTAAGTAGTTATTCTAAGCTCTTAGTTACTATTGAAATGGTCTAATAAGAAGGTTTCAGAGAACAACATTTTTCTGTCAGTATAAGTATGTTGGCAGTACACCCAATAGGTGTGTTTTTTTCCTCGGCATCATTTTGACATACCTCAGATGAAGTATCAACCTTTAGGCATATGTACACAAGATTTTGAAAAATTAATTTCCAATATACGAAGAAAAATGTGTTTTGGATAGTTTCTAGCTTGTTGATACTAATGAGACTTTATATAGACCTGCATTTGATTACATGTAATTCTTCTGTACTAATTTATTTTTATTTTATGTAAAGTTCATAGTATTAAGCATAAAATGGAAAATTCTAAGTGTTAATGCCATTGCTGCTTTTTCAGATTCTTTACTAGGAACTTGGAAGTGACTTGGCACCATGGTAGCTCTTTCCTTGAAGATCTGTGTCCGCCAGTGCAATGTGGTGAAGACGATGCAGTTTGAGCCGTCCACTGCAGTGTATGATGCCTGCAGAGTCATCCGTGAACGAGTGCCAGAAGCTCAGACGGGGCAGGGTGAGTTCCTCTATTTGTGTCTAGTCACTTCATTGGCTTAATTGAACATTAACATAGACCCATGAGGTTTCTTACACTGTTCTGTTACTCCATTTATCTTTCAGGTTGGAGGGTTTGTTTTTATATTTAAATCATAAGGCTCAGGATCGAAAGGCAACAAGGGCTGATTCTTAAGTGATTGAAGGTAGCTGCATTCTTTTTCTTCTTTCTGTCCTGACTGAGGTTGACAGAAGATGCTTTTTTGTGGAACTTCAGCTTCTTAATTAAGCTGCTTGTTTGCCTGAAAAATTAGTTCTGATTTTTCCCTGCTTGGAGAGTGATTTTTGTGGTACCATCTTTTCAAAGTCATGTTTGTGGCAATACTTCCTAGGAAAACCTAAATGGACTTACTTTGTTCCTCAGCAGAGGAAGGGACAACATGAAATACAAATACATCTTCAAAATGTTCGAAAGGACTTGTTTGGAACTGATTAATAAGTAAAAGCATCACCATGCTCTGAATGCCATGTTCAGAATGCTGCTACGTGTTCATAAAATTTAACTGTCTCTGTACCTTTCGAGCCAATTAGATTAATACAAACTGTGAAATATTTCTTCACTTGGACAAAAGTTCTGGTTTAAGTGTAGTAAAGTTGTAAAAAAAATTCAGATTCTTCAGAATCCTTCGGTGCTGTACTGTATATAATGCCACTGGAATGTAATCCTTAAAGCAGGCAGTTAATTGAGTTTTATGCACAGCTCTTGACCTTTAGAGCTGTTTTGGAAATATTTTCTGAACTGTTAGAAAAGCTCACTAATAATGGACAATATTACTTTTCCTTAAAAATGCTTCTCCTTTATAGGAATCCTTAGCAAGTCCAGCTATAGAATTTCCATTTTTAGGCACAAGCTGTGCATTTCTACCATACTCATTTTTCAAAGCAGTGATTCTGAACAGCTGTTGAATTCAGAGAAGCTGAGTAATAAATATCCCTGAACATCATGAACCTTGCAGAAAAGCCTAGGAACTCTCCTCACATTATACAGCAGGACTTTACATTTTTATATCATGTCAGTGCAATTGTAAACTTCAAACAACTTTATGAAGTTGAGCGGTGAACAGAAATAAGGTTACTAGCATATTGTTTACTCTTTCTTGTGGCTGTTAAAATGTGTTTGTCAGTGATTTCAGAAGATTTCAGAAGACTCACAGTGGTGCAGTACAGACTGATCCAACTAGTTTGGGCACAACAGAAAGTAAATACACTAGAGGGGAGGAAAAGTGGAATTTCTAAGTACTTGCTCTGCTTCAGTTCACTCAAAACAACTCTTCTGTGAAATGATTAATTATGCTGGGAGTAGATGAACAACATAAGAGAAGAGACATCAACACCGTAAAGAGCAAGTGAGAAATTACCTGGACTGAATTAATGTTTTGAATCAGCAAGGCCAGATTAAATCCATCAGAGAGTACTAAAGGAATTAGCCAATGAGGTTTCATAGTCCATGGCAAATGATTTTACAGAACTCCAAGGAGATCCTAGGGTTGCAGATTAGAAGCCTGACATCCATTATAGGAAACATACCAGCTAAAAAGAGATGTAACATGAATAAAAGTATTATTAGTGCTAGAATGATGTTAAGGCACAGAGCAAAACAAATGTTAGCGTTTAAAAAGGACTTATATATTAGACAGAAGTGTCGTATATATGATATCTTTTGCCAAATAAGCATATTTACTACACTAATTCAAGGTATTGTAAGGTACAACCTGTAGAAAAGAAAAATCTAGGTTACCATAGCTCACTGAAACCAGATAGCATCTACACCAAATATTACCGAAACATTTCAGAAAGCAGAAAACCAAAGATGATTGCTCAATAAGGACTCTACGAACTTCATAGTTCTAGTAATCCTTAATAAACCCACACTTAATCCCCAGTCCATTAACTGTTGGCCTAGCTTAAATCCCTCTTTCCTCATAATTGATACTTCTTAACTTGTAAGATTCACATCTCAAAATCAGAAGTCAAAGTAGAAAACTAGTATGACTTATAACTTTTAAGTTTATACTGCTGGGCTCATCTACAGCCTCTTGAACATTAGATACAGATAAATCACCCATAAAGCAAAAAAGTAGATACTAAGTCACTCTCCTGAACAGAAGTCAGTTAATGGTGACAGATAAATGTTGCCATCTACAAAAAGTTTTCACCTCCAGTGTTCCCCCAGATTACCTTCTCTGTTTCTCTTCCAAATCTATCAGTCCACTGATAGCAACATGCCTTGGTCTTTGTTTCCAACATTAGACCAAATGTATAACTTATAGAATCATAGAATCATAGAATCATAGAATCTTAGGGGCTGGAAGGGACCTCGAGAGATCATCTAGTCCAACCCCCCTGCCAGAGCAGGGTCACCTAGAGTACATCACACAGGAACTCATCCAGGTGGGTTTTGAATGTCTCCAGTGAGGGAGACTCCACAACCTCCCTGGGCAGTCTGTTCCAGTGCTCTGTCACTCTTACAGTAAAAAAATTTTTTCGGATATTCACCTTGAACCTCCTATGCTCCAATTTACACCCATTACCCCTTGTCCTATCACTGGTCATCACTGAGAAAAGCCTAACTCCATCCCCCTGACACTCACCCCTTACATATTTGTAAACATTGATGAGGTCACCCCTCAGTCTCCTTTTCTCCAAGCTAAAGAGACCCAGCTCCCTCAGCCTTTCCTCATAAGGGAGATGTTCCACTCCCTTAATCATCTTCGTAGCTCTGCGCTGGACTCTTTCGAGCAGTTCCCTGTCCTTTTTGAACTGAGGGGCCCAGAACTGGACACAATACTCCAGATGTGGCCTCACCAATGCAGAATAGAGGGGGAGGAGAACCTCTCTTGACCTACTAACCACACCCTTTCTAATGCACCCAATATGTGAAGGGTTGAAAACAAAGTATTTTGTTTTAACTAGAACTACAGCTTGAAATAGTATACTATGGTTGAGCCCGAACTGCTAATATTTTTGTTTAGTAAATTTTAAAGTAAGACCAATGACCATTTAAAAAACGTTGTCTTGAAGGGAAGTAATCACAAATATAATACAAATTACACAGTAGATGTGACATATTCCTGCTTACTGAAGCTTTTGTTCAAGTTGTCTTACAAAGCCTCACCTACCCTGCCATCTGCTGCTAAATTAAATGTTTTCTGAAGCACAGAAAAAAATTATATCCAGATTCATGTAAGAAAGGAAGGTAAGTATAATGGAAGCTTAACTCTGAAATTGAATAACTTTGACTAAAACAGTGTTTGCTTTATTAGGTTTTGTATTTTTCATTGAGTCTGTCTTCTGTTCCACAGCCTCTGATTATGGATTGTTCTTGTCAGATGAAGATCCTCGAAAGGGAATCTGGCTGGAGGCTGGAAGAACCCTGGATTATTACATGCTGAGAAATGGGGTATGGAGCAAATCTGTTGCTTCTTTCATTAGCACATCTTCAGAAAACTATTTTTCTGATTAGCAAGAATAATGTTTAGCATTTGGAGGGGTAGGAGGCTCTTGAGTCTGTTTGTTAGATTGACCCACTTTTCTCCTTTGCTGTGCATCAGGAGTTAGTTTTTGCCTGCATCTGTTTGTGTCTGTGAGCAACTGTGGCCGACAGTGTCTTCACAGAATGATTAACAGAAAGATAAATAAGTTTTGTAATAAGCTGTATGTTTGATGTGACCTTATAGTCTAGGTTTCTTGTACACTAAAGATGATGAAGTCTTACTTGCCCACATTATGGCCAGCTTGCTTAGAATCAAAAGGCATTTCTATTTTTTTTTTTAAATGCTAAACTAGTTTTTGAAGCACAGAAATGCTTTTGTCTATCTTCCCCTGTCTACATTTTTGTCTTGCCAGTTGGGACAAGGTCTCAAAAAATGACACTGGCAGAACTCAAAGTAGTTACTATCAAACTTAAAGTAGTCACTTAACAAGTTTGTTACATGAGTAAGTTTGCCTATACTATAGCAGAGGAAAAATCCAGCTTGGGGGTGAGGAGGAAATCCTGTTTTAGGCTTCTAAGTTCGTAGGTTGATTTGTGATGCCTTCCAAAAGCATTTAGAAACAGTGTTGTTTACTTCCTAGGATATACTGGAGTACAAAAAGAAACAAAGACCTCAGAAAATACGTATGTTAGATGGTTCAGTGAAAACAGTCATGGTGGATGATTCCAAAACAGTTGGTGAATTGCTCGTTACCATTTGCAGCAGGATAGGTAAGATTTTGGGACACACATGCTTAAGAATTTCTTTTTTTGCCATATTTGCTTCTGATTTTTGGGATGTTATGTGTATTGCTGGCCTAGAAATAGGTACATTTTAAAAACTAACAAACAAACCCATTTAACTTTGTTATCAGTTGCCATTTGCCAAACACTTTTTTGAAATCTGCTGTTCAGGTTTTTAAAAAATGGATAATTAGCTCTATTCTTGAACTTGAGTATTTAGCAGTTGAAGGCACAAATTTATCTGACAGTGCAGTTATATTTTTTTTATTATATCTTAGCTTTTACTTAGGTTTTTCTGCTATGTGGTAGAGAACTAGAAATAAATTCTTACTTAGGTTTAATGGGTTAAAAGATAAATACTGTTAACCGTGAAATATACCTAAACTTAGGGCCCTGAGTTGTTATGATTAGGAGTTTATCGCAGTACTGTATCATTTGTGAAATGTGGAAGCAGTCCAGAGCAGCTAGTCAAAAATGCTGGTTATAGTCCGTCTATTTATCCAAATAGAGGCATTTTGGAAAATTAATTCATTTAACTATAAACATGCATCCAACATGGATGAGTTTAAATCATAAATCCTTGCTTAATTCTCATTTAGAGTTGAAGTGGCCTGAATTTGATTTAGGCTAGTTAATTAGGAAAGTGAATTAAGCTAAATTTAAATTCATCCAGTTGTATTTTGTCTGAGTGGTTCTGTGCTGGATTCTAATGAGCTGTAACTAATTTACTTAAAAATTAGTTAGTCTTATTTTCATGGATGTGATCATGTAGGTAAGCATTTGATTTGCTTTCCTGTAAGACATAAACAGGCCTTTTCAAACAGTGGGGAAAAAAAAAAGAACAAAGAAATGAGAGCAACTCAGCACATATGCTAAATGTTGGGAACTTATTTTTTATTCAATTTCATGTAAAATTCATAGAGTTATATATTTCACATAATTTCTCTTCCTCAGTCTGCTCTGCCACATTTCTTATACACATCAAGCTGAAATTTCTCAGTTGTCAGGAACCAATGGTAGGCATCCATGAGAGAAAATTTACTATGGCCCATCATCCATTCTGGAATTTACAGCTATTTTAAATTTCATCATTGAAGCTGGCAACTTCTCTTGATAGGTAACAGAAGCACATGAATGTCTTCCTGAAAGTGGCAAATGCTGCACACAACAAGGAATTTGAAGGATAATAGCAGATACTGGAGAGATGTCTTGAGTGTGGAGGGTTTAGATTATTCTTGGGATCCGCTTCCCCGTACACTGTTGAGCATTTCATCTGGAATATCTTTACGATGCCTGAAATTAATACTTGGTGTTTTAAGATATAGAAAATAATATTTTACCTGTCTTGAAATGTATTCCATTTTTATTATTACAAACACTGGATTTATATATAATTCCAGGAATAACAAATTATGAGGAATATTCCTTAATCCAAGAAAGCATTGAAGAGAAGAAAGAGGAGAGTACAGGAACGCTTAAGAAAGACAGGACCTTGTTGCGTGATGAAAGAAAAATGGAAAAGCTGAAGGCCAAGCTTCATACAGATGATGATTGTGAGTAGTGTATTCCAGGATAATTCTATGAAGTTTAAATGGTACAGTGCGAGGAAACCACGCAGGGAATGCACTTTCAGATTCTTTGTTGTGTCTCAGTTGATCCCTACTTGTATTTTGCATCCTCTTATATATAATATTGTCTACTATTGAGTATTTTTTAAACTAGGTAAATCGACAAGTTGTTGCCTCTAGCTGTGAGAGTTATCAAGTCTTTTGAAGTGTTTTTTGTTACTTTTTTGGTAGGGGAGTTGTGACTTGTGTGAAGGGTCATTTCTATAACGACTGTTTTCTCCCCCTGATTGAAGTTGGATATTTAAATATTGATGCCTACTGAAAGACATGAAATGGTAGTTTTGTCTTTGTAGGTATAAGTTTTAAGTTTAAATGGAGGTTGTCAGAGAACGAAGACAGTATTTGATTTGTTTCATGTGTTAAATCATGAGAACCTTATTTCCCTGTTGTGTATTAAGGTGCTAAGATGAACTGTGACTGGCAGGTAGATAATTTAAAATTGTATTCAGGGATAAGAGAAACAAACATTACAATTGGTTTTTTGGGGAAAATGTGGTAAACGTTGGACTAATTTTTCAAGAAAGCTTTTAAGATCTAAATTTAGTAATAAAACTTTACTGTAGTTGTTTCTTCAACACTATTAATGGTATTTTATGCTGCAGTAAGTTGTTTCTCAGCAGTGCTGTTCTTGAATTCTCATTTGGAGCAGCCTTCAATACTGAGTAGAAGCAGAAATGAAAGCAACATTTTTTTGCAGGGTCTCATCTTCCAATGGAAAATGCCAGTTATCACATGATTTTCACAACAGCTATTAACACTGGCAACACTGTGTTTAACGATGTGCACATCTGTGGTTGTGTTACAGTAAATTGGCTAGATCACAGCCGGACGTTCAGAGAACAAGGAGTCGATGAAAACGAAACACTGCTGCTGAGGAGGAAGTTCTTTTATTCGGACCAGAATGTAGATTCAAGAGATCCTGTTCAGCTTAATTTGCTTTATGTTCAGGTTAGTCTGGCAACCAGTTTTAGGCTTCTCTTCTCTTCCTGATCAGTGAGAGAGCATCTTCTGAACTCCCTTTCCAGTCTTCAACCCAGATGGCACACAAGGCAGATGGGCTTCCTGTTCAATCATGTTCATGTAACATGGTATGAGTTCACCTAAGCAGGTTGCCCAATTTATTAGAAGTACTATACATACCTTACCAAAGCTTAGAGTTTTATGTAGAAGATACTATTTAACTGAAGGCTCCAGTGCCATTTCCTGTAATGCAGTCTGAAAAATCTAGACTTTTAAAGTCTTGAAAATATAAACTGAAAATTTAATGGAATGTTCCTTTGTTGTACTTGCATCTGATTCAAATGTGCTTAACTCTAAATTACATTTTAAATTTCTAAAGCAAAAGATAAAGATGGCATTGCTTAAAAGATTACATTATGTTTTTAAAGTATTTTAGAAGACTGTAGAAGACTAACCATTTCTCCTGCCATTTAGATATTGCTTTCAAATTAGTGTTGTGACAGTATGTGTTTTATTTTGTCATGGTTTTGCCTATGGTTAGGTGAGCTTCTAATCTCAGAGCTATAAAATCCATCATCTTCTGTGACCACTAAACACTAAACTGCTACCTGTAAACAAAAGGAAGGAAGGTGCTGTTTGCCTTCTCCTGTTGCTGTTCCTAGAATATTAATCTGGTTTTTACTTCAGTTATTCAGATGATTTTCCCTCCTACTATAAGGTAGCAAGATAAAGCTTTTAGATGTCTGAATGTACACTCTGTGTGTATGTGTGTACATTTATGTAAATATGTTATATTTTATATACATAGCTGGCAGGAAATATGTATCAAGTCCTCTTTTTGAAAGTTGTTACAATTGTGATTTAATAAGTCTCGCCAGACGACAATAATCTAGCTAGTCGTTTGTTCTTTTGTTAGTCATAAACACGTTAAGTATGGAATAGTGAAGACATACAGACAGAAATGTGTGTTGCTGGATTCTTGGGCCATAAGCTCTCAAGGAATTTCAGAGATGTAATAGTTAATTTGGATGTCCCTGACATGTCTTTGCTTACCTTCTATAGGCTCGTGATGATATTTTGAATGGCTCCCATCCTGTTTCCTTTGAGAAGGCCTGTGAGTTTGGAGGCTTTCAAGCACAGATACAGTTTGGACCTCACGTAGAACACAAACACAAACCCGGATTTTTAGAGTAAATGCTTCTAACTTCTAAATTTGGGTGACCTGAAGTGTAACTAATATTGAGTAGTCACAGACAAAACGCATTTTAGTAGTCCAAGCAGAGGTAATCAGATTTGCCATGTTTCCTGCAGCAATCTCTGTCTGAAAGGAGCCTTATTGCACAAAGGGGCAACCCCAGCTAATGAAGGGGGACCTTTGGCAGTGGCTTGTTAGGCAGCACAGCACAGAACACCAGCTTCCTCCAGGGTGCCAGTTAAGTATACTGCTCGAAGAACTTTCTTCCTTAGAAACCTACTTCTGCCTGCATTTAGAAATGTCACATGTGAGTTAAGCTTACTTCAGTGTGTATCACAGATTTGATTTGCTAGGAAAGTATATTAATGGAAAGATGCTATGACAGTTGAATAAATTTAATATTGCTTTATGTACAGGTTAAATTTTCCAGACTTTTTAGTGGCATTAATCAGTTCAGATTCATTTGCTCATGAAATGGTTTGACTGGGGATCTAGAGTTGTGCTCTTCGTTTCAGATGTAGACAGGAGCCCTGCTTACAAATGACCCATCACAGAATCACAGAATTTTAGGAGTTGGAAGGGACCTTGAAAGATCATCTAGTCCAACTCTCCTGCCAGAGCAGAATCGCTTAGAGCACATTACACAGGAACACATCCAGGCGGGTTTTGAATGTCTCCAGAGAAGGAGACTCCACAACCTCTCTGGACAGCCTGTTCCAGTGTTCTGTCACTCTCACATTAAAGACTTTTTTTCCTTTATTGTGGTACTTATTTTAATGCTACCAGCAGGGCAGGCTTAGTTTGACTGAAATGCAGGTATCCCATTTTTCCACTGATTTTGATTTTCAGTTTCATTTGCCTGCAGTGGAGTTAACTGAGGGCCAGAGCCTGAGTAAAGGGGAGTATAGGAGGATAAAAGAAAGCTACTTACTGTACAGGCCATCGAGTTGTGCCTGCATATGAGGCTCATAGCTACCTTAATGGGATGCAGAAAACAATGGGTGCATATTTGGTTTCTGTACTGTTCAGATGGCTGAGTGCTGACTCTTACACTTCCTTTGTCAGACTGAGTCTGGGGTTTACTGAATCTGAGGGAATCACTTCAAAATGGTGGCTTGCTTTGGAACATGCAGTGCTGCAACATCAGTTGTTTTAACTGTTCTGAAAGACTTGTGAAGTAGTAATCCAGTTATGTAAACAAACCATGTAAACAAACATCCTTCAGTTCTGATTAATAGTCAGCTTTTCTTTGTGCTGTCTTGCAAACTCAGTTAAACAAGCTGCCAAATAAAGTGAGACTATTGCTTGTTGTATCATAAGGAAAATAACCTGATGATAGATAGCATTAAAATCGGTCTGTTTACAACTAGCATTTCACCCTTTCAGTTGAGACGGTTACTTGCCTGATTAAAAAATAATGGAAGGTGATACAAGTAAAAAGCATCCGATCTAACTGCCAGCTACATGTGCAAGGGTATGCCAGTTGGTGCTTAGTGGACAAAGCACAACGTTGTTTTCTTAACCTTGCTGCTTAAGAAACTCCAAATAATGTTTGCTTAGCAATGCCTCCTTGAAGTATGTATTTAGTTAAAGTAAGTAGACTTTAAAACTTAAAAACTTAATTGTCTTGGTAGTTTATCTTCATGTGGATAGCTGAGAAAATTACCTCTGGTTAATAAAGGATGATAACTGGAAGTGCAGTGATAACTATAATTTTTCTATATAAATCCATTGCTAGACGTAAACTGGGTTTACCTCAGGTTTGAGGTTTTGGGGTTTTTGTTATTTGCCTTGGAAGTTAATTCAACCTAACTGGTTTGAACCTCTTGAAACTCTGCATAAAAGCATCAGTTGCTTCAGAATAAAGACACCAGTGTTCTATGATAAAAAGCTCTCCAACCTTCCCCACCCCATGATATGTCTGTGTAAATAAGTCCTGAGAAGAGACTTTATTATCACGTATTAGTGAGATATTACTACTGGAGCATTGGAAGAAAGATTAGCAAGGACAGTTGTTATTACTTTGATTTATATTGCTAGAGCTTTATGGAGAGAAAAAAAATACATTATCTCACTACTGAATAGTATCTTTGAAGAAAGAACAAAATCCAGATTTAGTCTGAGTTATTTTATTTGTTGTCTGTAGTGGCAGGCTTTTGTTTTTAAAAACAATGAGAAAACAAGAAAGCCCCACAAACACCTATTCTCCCAGAAAAAAACCCAAATAAAAAACCCCACAGAACAGTTAAGCAATTTTTTTTGCCAATTTTGTTGAAAAGAAAACAACAAACCATCCTTCTCAAAACTTTTAACTTTCCATGATAGTAGATTTCTGTACTAGTGTGCTTGCTTACTGAATTTATCAAAGCAAGGAGGTGATTCTCCAGTCATACTTTTTCTGTGGTTCTTATTAGTTGAAAGTGTGGGAGGTCCTTAGAAATCAACTTCTTGAACTGTGCAAGTTTCATCAAGCTGAAAATAAACCACTGAATATATAACCTAGTTTCATCAGAGTAGAATGTTCCAGATGGGAAGGTGCATCCAGAAGAGAACTAATGTTTTTTTAAGTATGATGTTGATATGTCATCAAGTTGGAGTGAGCTTTGGCTGCGATAAAGGGTTTATGTTGTTATACAGCAAGGAGGTACAGGTGAGGGGTTTAGAGATTCTTTCTGGCTAAACTGTCATGGAGGTTGAACTTGCTTAGTTTAATCTGTGTTCTGAGAGCCTTAGTATCTGAGTGCTACACAAATTAGGACTGGTTATTTATTACTTTGTTTTTGAAATAGTGAATGGTATTAAGTGTCCTCTTAAATTACTTTGTAGATTTTCACTAAAATATTAGTGTTCTAATGTTTCTTGAAAGACAGAGAAATAACTTAGTCCTGCCTGTCAATAAATCAAAGTGCTACTGGAGAGTAATATCAGTGCCTGGACTCAGATGCAGACCTGGCTCAAGCATTGTTGTCCCCCTCTTATCCCAGATTACTGTGAGTGTATTTGGATTTAGATATAAACCCCTTTGAGCTGTGGAGAGGCAGTTTAGGAAAGGATAGTATCCCAGTTATTATTTATTTTTTAAGACTTTTCAAAACATGAAGAGGTATTACAGGGGAATGTAGCTGAAGTTTTTCTTAATTGTGCAAGGTATCCTCTTGCTCCCCTACTTAGCCAGACTTTTGTTTCATTGTATAGGTATTTTATGCCTGTTTTTGGAAGTTTGGGGGCTTAAGGAGCATGGAAAGTATTCCTCTTCAAGAAGGCACCATTAACTATGAGATTGTTTTGGTTTTTTTTCTAGCCTCAAAGAATTCCTGCCTAAAGAATATACCAAACAAAGAGGGGCTGAAAAGAGAATATTTCAGGTAATCATGAAGCTTGAAAACCTACTACAGTTCTACTTCCTATATGAAAAAATACTAGCTTTCACAGGTGTATACTTGGTATATACTTGAATATATAACTATCAGAATATCGAGTGTGAAGAATCTGACAGCTTTTCTGTACTTTCTTCAGTGAATTTATCCTCTTGATCTTTTTTCTTCACTGATGCTTCTTCGATGTACTTAGTTGAAGGAGAGAGTGAATATTCAATATTCTTAAGACATTTTTCTCAGTTATGTTGAAATGTAAGGATATGTATTTGTAGTATAATAGAAGCCCATTTAGGAAAAGCAGCTTTAATTTCATACCTTCATTACTCAAGCATGACCAAATAATTTGGTGTTCTGCTAGCTAGTGCTTGAGTTTAGTGACATGTCTGGGAATCACAACTGTGGAAGACTGAAGCAGTTGAGTATTAAATGTGCTGATACTATTGGAAGTGGTCTTAGAGTTTGAGTAAGGTAGATGCACTAAGTATCTGAAATACAAGTTTGGCAAAACAGTGTAAGTTGAAAAAATCCGAGGTCAACAGCTGAAACCAAGTCATACGATTTCTGGAGGGGCTACCAGTGATCTGTCATCTCAAGTTGGGAGACCAGTTGAAGAGCAGGAATAGGCCACATAGTTTCCTATGTCTGTTACACTCCCAGTCTAGGAATTTTGTAGCTCAGAGAGTTTGTTTTAGGTGGGGCTTTTAGTACTTCCTCATAGATAAGGAAAGCCAATGCTTTTCTGTGTGTGTTTAGCACTACTTTAGCTTGTGGCAGTGATGCTGCATTTTAAGCAAAAAAAAATAGATCATTCACTGCTGAGTATCACTTGTGCTATACACAGCATGTGATTTTGGCCTGTGTCAATTATAATCTACAAGTAGTTCCCATCACTCAGTGCATGGACAAGAAGATCATCAGTGAGAGCACTAATGCTGGGCAAAGATAAAACAGCAAGGTAGAATATGCATGCTGCCTTTTTGGAAAAATCAGCTCTTTCCTGAGTTATAAAAATCCTGAGCGTGGCAGGTGATTTTTGCCAGATTCCATCTGCAATGCCTACGTTTTGGTCTCCTTGCTCTTTCAGTATCTTTGTTGTATTCTCTGTGCTGAACTTGACAGGTATGATCAGTCCGTGTCCTTGGGATGCAAAAGGGTTGCTCCTCCCAGTGCTCCTCTGTGGAACATTGTCAAGATGGTAACTTAAACTGGTGTAGCCAAGTGTTTCCCATGTTCTTGGTGCTCCCCCTACTGCCATCAGTCAACATGAAAGACGTGGCAACCAGCAGTTTAGGAAAATGTGAAGGGAAAGTGCAATGTGATAGCAAATCCCACAAACAGTATTTAAATTGGGATAGGAGAGCAGATTCTCAGATCAAGTTTGAATAGGTGATACTGATAGTTGCCATTATTTACAGATAATAGAGTTTAAAAATTATGACGTTGTTTAAATAATAAATACAAATTTAATTACAAGACACACCTAGATGAGTATTTCAGAATGAGCTATTTAGCAAAATCATTGCTTCTTCCTCGTCTCTAGGACTATTGGCATTGTGGATAACAGCGCTACTGGCAAGAAAAGCCTGCTGGCAATACCTCCAAGTCAAATAGCAGCAATATCTAGAATTGTAAACTGTGAGCAATGGTATAAATGTGCTTGATCTGAGAACAGATAGAATGCATGATGGCTGAAGAAGAATGTTCCATTTGCACAGGTTGTTTGTTCTCCAATATGAGGAATTAAGGGATACAGTCTTGCTAACACATCTAGCCAGTATTTTTTAAATATTCCAGTGATTGCCAACTAAACATCCTTAAACAGATAGCAGCTATACCTTTTTTGTTTGTTTCTGCCTAAGTGATATTGAACTGTTATTGCAGGAGCACAAAAACTGTGGTGAGATGAGTGAAATAGAAGCCAAAGTGAAGTATGTGAAGCTGGCTCGTTCTCTGCGGACCTATGGGGTGTCATTTTTTCTTGTGAAGGTAAAGTAGACTTTACTGTGACCAGATTGTGTTGTTGGTTTTGTATTGTTGCAGATTCTGCACTAAACGAAGTCAAAGGTGTTCTTTCAGCCTTCTAAGAGCAGCATTTGGAAAAAAAATATAAGTTATTACATTTGACAGAACTATAATTTCCATTTAGATTCTTTACATTAACATGACAAACAATTGACTGTCTTCAGAAAAACATTCACAAAGAACTCGTAAGTTGTTCCCGTTAGAAGTTTAATGATGCTATGAGTTGTGTGCTGAAAAACTGCAACTGAATAACGGTTTCATCAGCTGCATCATTAATTTCTCTTACTGACAAGTGTCAGTTCTTTAATGGCTGTTGAGATAAATTGCATATTAGAGACTATACTGAAGTTACAGTATGCAGTTTTCAGTAACTAAAATATTAAAACTAACAAGTGTGCACATTTACAGCAAGCTGCCAATTCAATGGAGTTTGTTAGCACAATGTAGCTGACCTGTGTGGTAGAAGACAAAAACATCATTCTGTGTTTCATTAATATCTTGCTTTCTTTTGTCATAGCGTAAACACTAAATGCATCAAGTAACCATGTCATGAAAATTCTGTTGGAAGGAGTAATTGGTCTTCCAAAAAATCTGGCAAATGACCTATTATGCAAATGGGAATTGATTGTTTGCAGCTTCCATACATTCTTGGAGAATCGTACGTGTGGATTAATTTCTGGTTTAAGATTGATTTAATGTAGCAAATTGTTATCTTGGGCCTATGCCCTGCAATCTTGAAAAGAGGCAAAATGTCCATCAATAAGGAGATATCAGCTGGCAGCATGTAGATTGACCCTGCCCACTTCCTTGTGATGTTTGCATGGGTTAGGATCTTCTTATATATTGAAAATAACTAAGATTTCAATTTGAAAATAAGGGACAAATTACGACTGATCTTGCCTAAGTGTCAGCCCCAGTGGTCCTTTCTTTACCTCTCCAGAAATTATATAGTGAAGGTGAAGGCAACCTAACTTCTGAGTCCTTGTGATGACTTCCCATTCAGCTTTTCTAATATGGTTTACAAAGGAAGTCTTCTCTCTAGAAGGGCAGCCATCGTGGTTTTTTTTAAAGTAAATTGCAGAGATTTGTTATCAAAATCCCTAAAATGCTTCTGTTTCCTGGAGGAGGGAGAAGAGGGGAGTGTCTTTTGAAGAGCACCATAAAGATCTGGTAATGAGAAGAGCTGCTTAATATGATTGCATTACTTGAAAATCACTGTCTGTGACCAGACAAGCTAAACCTGGGGTTTTATATTACCCTCATCTGCATGCCATTTGCTGCTCCTTGGCAGTGTATTCCATGAGGCTTATCCTTTCTCCTATGGCCAGCTCTGTTTGAATGAAAACCAATCTTTCACACCTTGTTATAGGAAAAAATGAAAGGCAAAAACAAGCTGGTTCCTCGTTTGCTCGGTGTCACCAAAGACTCAGTGATGCGTGTGGATGAGAAGACCAAGGAGGTGTTGCAGGAATGGCCACTGACAACTGTGAAACGCTGGGCTGCCTCACCTAAAAGCTTCACTCTGGTAATCTTTTTGTATATATTCAGAGGTAGGGGGATTTGTGGGGCAAGGAACAAGGACGATAAACTTAGACTGGCAACAGCTTCTTTAATGTAACTTGTTCTATCCATAATTTTCTAGCATTATGTCACTGTGTCCTAAGCTAATAAATTGGTCCATATTCGTGTTTAGGGTCAATCTGTATTTTGATGTTCCTGGACGGGCTGGTTCTCTAAAATACTGTTTAAATCTGTTCTGTGCCTAACCAAGAAAACATTGTTCACACTTGCTTAACCTCTTACGGTGCTTGCCATTCATAATGCACTTTGTGACTTGCAAGATACAAACATAAAGCTAGATGGTTCACTAATACATTTGGTAATTATGGATTTAAAGAACTTTAATTTGGTCTATAAGAGACCACTGCATCAGGAGTATTTTGCATATGAAAAGGTTGTTTAAAGTGGGATTGGCTAGAAAATTATATTCCCTTTAATTATGTGTACCTGCTTTCCAGTTGCATGGGTGATGATGCTTTAGAATAAAATTCTAAAGACTTTTCTCCATCCTTTAGTTCCTGAGTCTGGTAGAGTCAGACTCCTCTGGCATTTCAATTTATGAAAAATCTGTGATTAAGCTGCAATAAAAAGCATCCTTCTGCTCTCCTCCCTCACGCCCTACATAGACTGGTTTAGAATTTTGGCACAATTTCATTTAGTGTTGGATATAAAGGTCTAAAGGTCTACACAAACAATTTTAAAATTTGAATTCTCTCATTCATTTGATACTGTTCTTCATATATGTACTTTCCATTTCTGAAGTTGTTTTTTTTTCCTCTTTTCTTTCAGGATTTTGGCGAATATCAGGAAAGCTATTACTCAGTACAGACCACTGAAGGAGAACAGATCTCGCAATTAATTGCAGGCTACATTGATATCATCCTAAAGAAGGTACAATATGAAGATGACATGTAGTAGAAATGACTGTACAGCAGTGCAAAAGCTCAAATGTGTGCAAGCTGCACTTCTCTTTCTCTCATGAAGTCAGTGTTGTATCTTGTGTTTTGATGTTATTTAATTTTACCTGTAAGTAATATAAAGTATTTCAGTTCAACTTCTGGAAAATATCAAGGCTGTTAACTATAGAAGTAGGGTCTGTACAATGCACCTGGGCTTTGTTTTTCTTTCTGGGAGGTGAACTGCTGACTGTGAATGACTTTGAGTATTACTTCAGAAACACTGTGATCAGTAAAGCAAAGAGTTACATCTTAGTTGTGCAGAGAGAGGGATAAAATCAGTGTTTTTGAAGAGGCCAAACTGTCTTGAAACTTGATTTTATGAAGTGTGCATGACAGGGGAGAGGAGATGCTGGTATGCATCTCCAGCATTCAAAATACTCACAAATAAATGAGCACAACATCAAAGAATACCAGTTTTTCTAACAAACATGGAGCCGAATGATCATACTCTAAATATGTTGTGTGGCAAAGTCAGGTGTTTGAAATAGCACTGGCTGCTCCTTGACAAGTTTTTACTTTATTAAGGTTCAACCAAGCTACACTATTATTTGCTGTAATAGATTTTAATAGTAATGAAATGACAGAAAGCTGAGCAGCTCAGGAAAATTTATTATCTTTGTTCATGTGAAACAGTGTAGGATGTAATATCCAGTGTCCTGAAATCAGATGTGGAGGAGGATTGCCAGAATTCATCACAGTGCATATCTTTAGCTCTGGGGCTGTCAGCCTCAGATTTAATAAATGTTAAATAAACGGTAGGTTTCCATAGATGGTTTAAAACTTGGTTCTGGTTCTTAAGCTTCAAAAGTAACTTTGCTTTCTAATGCCAAACAAAAGCAGCCTTTTTGTCTTGATAGAGTACAGATGTGCATATTTTCACTCCTTGCCAATCCTTTTTTTACTTTACAATCTGCTGGCACAGCCAGTTCTAAAATGGATAAATTAGAAGCAATTCAGTAATAAACACCCCCGGTGTTTCATGATGCATATGAGAAATGGGCAGTTTCCAGTTGTCAGGCCCAAGTACCCCTGTAATGCATGCCTTGAAGTATGGTTCATTGCTCTCAGTTGCATCCTTTTATTCTTGGTGTGTTTTGGACTATTCCAACTCATTTGCTGTGGTGTGCATCTGTGGTGCATTGTTTTCTGCTAAAATATTATTGGTGCAACACCCTCCAACCCATCTTGCTCTGCAATTTTAGTATAGGTCATTAATCAGTTGACAGGGAACCCTGAACTTGAGTAACTTTTACCATTTTCTAATCTAAAAATATGTTTTTACTTCACATTAGTATGGAAGTAAGGTACAATATTTACCAGAAATAGACAGTTTCAGAGCATGGATAAACTCAAACTATGACAGTAAATACTTGGGGAAAGCTGGTGGGATGTGTATGGATGTGAATGAGGAGCTCCTGTTAAATGTACCCAAGGTCATAGTGGATGTTCCTCTTTTTATATATGTATATTTATTCAGATTACAAATCATGAAACAAGGTGGAAAGCAGGCAATATCTTTGCACTAAGTCACAAGTTGAAACGAACTGTTTCTACTAAGCACTACTTTTATTTTTTATCGTAGTTTAGATTTACTCCTCTTGTGTATATTTATACCACTACAGAAAACTGTCTCAAAAAGTCAGAAATGCAGACTGTTCAGAAGTCTAAAGTAGGTATGGTAAATAGCTTGGATACAGTATTAAATTTATCATCTTTCCTATGGATGTGTATTTCCTAGTAGTAGGTAGCACCATCTAGTAACATTTCAGGATGTTAGATATGACTGAGTTAACTGAGTCAGTCTGATGTTCCTGAGTTAGAAGAGAGTGGGAAAGGGAATGGTTAATGTCCTGTGTGTGCCAAGATTTGTTGTTGTTGTGTATTACTCAGTCCTCAGAACTTTTCTATGAGAAAAGACAATATCACTACACTTCTTTGTCCCTTTGTTCAAAAAGGCACCAATAGGCTTTTTTTCTTTACGCACTTAATCTGCCAGGGCTTAGAATGTGGTCTGTTAGATGCCGAAGGGGAGCTCTTCTTAGGTGGAGGTTAAGCTGTCACACAATGCCTGAAGCATGATGTTCAGCAGTGGACAAGACTAGGTTATTTGACTAGGTTTCTGATAAATGGCAAGGAAATGATGGAGAGAAAGCTAAAAGCAATGTGGTGTTTAACTTTTTTTTTTCTTTTCCAGAAACAAAGTAAAGATAGGTTTGGGCTTGAAGGGGATGAGGAGTCAACCATGTTGGAAGAATCTGTTTCACCTAAGAAGTGAGTGTATACAAGAGGAGGAAATGCCTTTTATTTAAGAATGACACCTTTTTGATGTGGTAGCTTTTTTCAAATGAAATAGTATAGTTATTACTGGCAAAGAACGATTTTCTACAGGGTATTTCAATAGAAGGAAGTACTATCCCCAGGCAAATCAGCAGTCTCCTAGCTTCATTCAAGGATTGAAGAGCAGGTATTTGTCATAAAATTGTTGGTTAAGGAAACCAGCAGTGGTACCAGTTTGTGGTAAATTGACTGTTGAGCAAAGGAGCTATAATTCAGTAAAATGCTGGGGAGGGAGCAATGACATAGAGCTGAAAATGTTCTATTAGATTTTTTTATCTTCTTTCAAGCAGAATGTGAAAGTGTCTTATTAGACTTTTGATCTTCATGCAAATACCTAGGATTTTCAAGGGTTTAGTTGCTTTTGTCTGCTAGCTTCATGTTCTCCATTATATGTGACTCCTGTCAGTTTAATGGTACACTGTGTCATGAAAAGAGCTGGCTTATATCACCAAACCAGTTTAGACAAGCCACTCAGGTGTGTGGTGAGGGTAAAAGTAAGGTTTTGTTATTAGTAGGTCAGGCCATGGCTCTGGTGGAAGTATAACTGAATGCAGCAAAAAGCAGAACTGTAGAGCTGGCCATACTCTTGAAAAGGAATATTAGGTCTTTCCTTGCAGTGAAGAAATGGAAATAGGTTTGTGACATTATGAGCTGTAATAAGTTGCTCAAGTCTCTGCTTGGAACTCAAGAGGATGGTGGTGTCAGCAGTGTGTATGTGAAAAATCTGATTTGTTGTTCAATATATGGCATATAGAGGATATATTTAGATAGATATTTAATGTGGCCTTATGTGAAATTTTAGCTTTTGATGGATCATGCAAGTTCAAATGTGCTTTCTTTTGACATTGCTTTTTCCAGATGACTTCCAGAATATACTACGAGCTCACTGCAGTGCAGAGAAACCCAAAACTTGTCAGAGATGAATAGAGGATTCTAACAATTTAAATAACTTCTTTCTCTTGCGGACTGCTGTTAGAATTTCTGTCAACACTTAACAGCTGTTAAAGCTTGAACCATATTTAAATATGAGCAGTGTATCTGGTCAAGCAGTTCCTGGCCATGGATGACAGTGACTTTACTGCCTCACAGCCCATTATCTGATAGGCTGCCAAATTATTCTCAAATACTAGGTGTGCATGTGCATATAAAGAGGAAAGAATGTTAGTTTTTATCCCAAATGTAGGAAGTGCTTGCAAAAGGCATCTCCACAGAGTTTATGCTTCTATTTTATTTTGATCAGTCTATAATACAACTGAAACAAAGCCGTTGTTATGTCATAAGCCTTGTTCTGGCTCTGTCAATCATGCATCTTAGAGTGGTGAAGTTATTGTGTCAGATATACCAAGATTGCACATTGCCTTCTTTCCTTCATGCCTGCTGATAACACTTGATCTGCCAAATGCCCTAGATTAATGTTTTTTATACTAAGTTAGAAAATGGTTGGGAAGATGGTAGTTTTTTTCTAGCTTCTTCAAATGTCATGAAATGCCATTGAAAATCCTAAAGGTACACCGTCCGGCAGGACTTTATTTGTACAACCTGACTAATTCTCTCTCTGTTGGATTTTTCTTTTCTTAATATTTTTTAGACCTACTATCTTGCAGCAGCAGTTCAACCGAACGGGGAAGGTGGAGCATGGCTCTGTGGCACTACCAGCTGTTATGCGTTCAGGGTCCAGTGGCCCAGAGACTTTCAACATTGGCATCATGCCTTCTCCCCAGCAACAAGTCACAATTGGTCAGATGCACAGAGGACATATGCCCCCACTTGTGAGGAACCTCCTTGTTTTGTATTTGAAACTTTTATTTGCTTTTGAAACTTGTCTGTGCTGCAAGTAGTCAGAAACAGCATGTTATGCATATTGTTAAGAGCAGGAGGAGGATATCGAGTGTGTCTTCCTGGCTGTCCTACTGAACATAAGTTTCCATCATCCCTGAAATACTTAGTGTATTGCATTTTGACTTATTTCTTCACATTCTTTATAGCTGGCTCTTCCAACCTTCTCTTCTAAGTAGTTGAACTAGTATCCACGGGTTAGAAAAAAAAGGTTTAAAGACTGGCAAAAGTAAGCACTTGTAAGAAAAAGGCTTACATCTAGCTTATTGCTAGCCCTTCTCCAGCATTCTAGTACATGGGTGTTTGCTGGTTTGTTTCTTGAACTTTATTTTCCCTTCACTGCCATGTACTGTTTTCCCTTTAAGGCTGTTTCCTAGAGGCACCTCCAGGTGCGTGATGGGCTCAGCTGTAACCAGCTGTGTCGCACATGGGGCAGCCCCTGACTTCCTGTGACAGAGCCTGCCCCAGCAGCCAGAACCTCACCCAGACACCCAATACAGATATCCATGCTGCTCTACCCAAAATCCTTCAGTTTTCTGTTAGCTTATGCATATTAATAGAAATATAGTTTTAGAATCGTCCTTGATTACATTGATAGGCTGTTCCAGGAAGTCAGTAATGATACCCTAGAAGCAATTTGAGTTTTCAGGTTCCTAGAATCCAAGTCAGTAAGACCATTTGGGACATAAGACACAGACATTTCCTGGTTTGCCTTTCAGACCTCTGCTCAGCAGGCCTTGATGGGGACTATTAATACCAGTATGCATGCTGTTCATTTTCCAAAGAAAGGACCATGCTTTTACTTCTCTAGAACAGAGAATAGAGAAAGCAGCCTTCAAGACTTATTTTTTTTTTTTCCTTTTTTTTTTTTACATAGGGTCTAAACACTCCATGCAGATTTTGGGAGGTTTTCCCCCAAAATATATACATAGGACCTTTTCCAAGGGCTATTGAAAGGCCTTTAAAAGCTTCTTATTTTAATGATTTTACAGTGGAACCTAAAGAAAAGCAGTGCTGTAAGAAGAGCAAATATATGATTTGACTGAATAGAGAATTTCTAAAATAAAGAAAATACAGGAAAAAATAGAGATAGGTAAAGTGTTCTGGAGTAGAAGAACCAGAACAAGTTTCAATGTGGACTAAACTTGGAAGAATCTTTGAGTCAAAGAGAAGGCTAGACTGAGAAAACTGAGAACTGAAAGGATTGGAAAAGATAATATTATAACTCATGATTTCTTATCCATAGGTAAATCTGTAATGTTTAGAATAACCTCTTTTTGAAGACATACATAATAAAAACAAATGTGGTGGTAGAGAAACAGTTTTGAATTCCTGCAGATTTGCTGAGCTGTGAATTCAGAAAAGGTAAACCTCTGAAAGAGGGAATTTAAAAGCATTTTAAAATGCAACATTTAGATAAAACAAATAAACAAATAAATAAGTGGTTATAATAGAAAAATAAAAATAAAACAAAATATGGGATAATCTGAAATATTCTCTTCCATTTTTTTAAATTTGAACAACAGAAGCTGTTACCTGTCCTACCTTACTCCTAAACACTGAAACCCAGAAAGAAAAAACAAGGGACAAAAAAACCAAACCATTTTACACTCCTACAAAATTACACATATTTATATTTCAAAGAATCATTGCATTCTAATTATTCACAGTACTGCTATGACTTTTCACTCTACTTTGAATTTCTTCCCCTTAATAGCAAGTCTCCTTGCTTTCTCTTTTAATGTAGCAATACTACAGAATCTAAAAGAAGAAAGGTAAAGAAAGAGAGAAAGAAGGATAGACTGAGAGTGAAAAGCCTGACAACTGTGTAACAAACAAGAACATAGTAGAAAAAAAATGTATTGTACTGAAGCTGAAAATTCTTTTTGAAAAATGTCAGAAGACCAGGTAGATTATTAAGCAATACAGTAAGATAATTATTTGTTTGCCTTGTTTGTACAATATTAACTACCTAATTTGTAAGGCATGGTGATAGAATTTAAATGCTAATAAAATCTTAACTGAGCTGATGTAATCACAACAAAACAGATTTTATATGAGTACATATCCTGTGTGGAAGGAACAAAATACCCAGCAGGACCAGAACCCTGGACTTCCACAGGGCAAACTTTGGTCTCCTCAATCATCTATTAAGGGAAATCCCATGGGACAGGGTGCTAGAAAATAAAGGAGCTCAAGATAGCTGGTCAACATTCAAGGACCACTTCTTGCAAGCACAGGATCAGAGTGTCCCAATGGTTAGGAAATCTAGTAAGGGTGCTAGGAGACCTGCATGGTTAAAGAAGGAACTACTGGGCAAACTTAAGTGGAAAAGGAAAATCTATAGATCATGGAAGGAGGGGCTGGTCACTTGGGAGGAATATAGGACTGTTGTCAGAGGATGTAGGGAGGCAATTAGGAAAGCTAAGGCCTCCTTGGAACTTAACCTTGCAAGTCAGGTTAAGGATAATAGAAAGGGCTTTTTCAAGTACATAGCTAGCAAAACTAGCAATAGAGGCAATATTGGCCCATTGAGGAATGAGGTGGGAGCCCTGGTGACAGAGGATATAAAGAAGGCAGAGGTGCTGAATGCCTTCTTTGCCTCTGTCTTCACTCCTGCAGGGTCTCCCTATGAGCCCCAGATTCATATAGCCCCAGAAGAAGTCAAGATAGAGGAAGAGTTTGACATGGTAGATGAGGATTGGGTTAGGGATCAGTTGAGTAATCTGGACATCCATAAATCAATGGGTCCAGATGGAATGCACCCAAGGGTGCTGAGGGAGCTGGCGGAGGTCATTGCTAGGCCACTCTCCATCATCTTCAGTAAATCATGGGCAACAGGTGAGGTGCCTGAGGACTGGAGGATAGCAAATGTCACTCCAGTCTACAAGAAGGGCAAGAAGGAGGACCCGGGTAACTATAGACCGGTCAGCCTCACCTCCATCCCTGGAAAGGTGATGGAACAACTTGTTCTTGTGACTATCTCCAGGCACATCAAGGACATGGGGGTCATCAAGAGCAGTCAGCATGGTTTTATCAAGGGTAAATCATGTTTGACTAACCTCATAGCCTTCTATGAGGAAATTACTAGGTGGATAGATGATGGTAGAGCGGTAGATGTGGTTTATCTTGATTTCAGTAAAGCATTTGACACCGTCTCCCACAGCATCCTTGTGGATAAGTTGATCAGGTATGGGTTTGGTGACCAGGAAGTGAGGTGGATTAGGAACTGGTTGAAAGGAAGGAGTCAGAGAGTTGTAGTCAATGGGGTAGAATCTGGTTGGAGGTGTGTTACTAGTGGAGTCCCACAAGGGTCGGTGCTGGGACCGGTGTTGTTCAACATCTTCATCAACGACCTGGATGAGGGTATAGAATGTACCCTCAGCAAGTTTGCTGATGACACTAAGCTGGGAGGAGTGGCTGACACACCAGAAGGCTGTGCTGCCATTCAGAGAGACTTAGATAGGTTGGAGAGTTGGGCGGGGAGAAACATGATGAAATTCAACAAGGGGAAGTGCAGAGTTTTACATTTGGGGAAGAACAACACCATGTCCCAGTACAGGTTGGGGGCTGAACTGCTGGAGAGTAGTGTAGGTGAAAGAGACCTGGGGGTCCTGGTAGACAGGAGGATGACCATGAGCCAGCAATGTGCCCTTGTGGCCAAGAAGGCCAATGGCATCCTGGGGTGTATTAGAAAGGGTGTGGTTAGTAGGTCAAGAGAGGTTCTCCTCCCCCTCTATTCTGCATTGGTGAGGCCACATCTGGAGTATTGTGTCCAGTTCTGGGCCCCTCAGTTCAAAAAGGACAGGGAACTGCTCGAGAGAGTCCAGCGCAGAGCTACGAAGATGATTAGGGGAGTGGAACATCTCCCTTATGAGGAAAGGCTGAGGGAGCTGGGTCTCTTTAGCTTGGAGAAAAGGAGACTGAGGGGTGACCTCATCAATGTTTACAAATATGTAAGGGGTGAGTGTCAGGGGGACGGAGTTAGGCTTTTCTCAGTGATGACCAGTGATAGGACAAGGGGTAATGGGTGTAAATTGGAGCATAGGAGGTTCAAGGTGAATATCCGAAAAAAATTTTTTACTGTAAGAGTGACAGAGCACTGGAACAGACTGCCCAGGGAGGTTGTGGAGTCTCCCTCACTGGAGACATTCAAAACCCACCTGGATGAGTTCCTGTGTGATGTACTCTAGGTGACCCTGCTCTGGCAGGGGGGTTGGACTAGATGATCTCTCGAGGTCCCTTCCAGCCCCTAAGATTCTGTGATTCTATGATTCATTCTGTGTGGCCCACAGGTGCTTTCTTGCTTCATGGAGAGCTCGTACTATACTCCCCTCAGCATGTCAAATGTGTGGTTCATGCTATATGCATACTGGGCATGCTCTTTCTTTTCAACTTCTGCTCTACTTTTACTTTCAGCACTACATTTGTCACTAGCTTCTTCTATGGTGACTTTCAGTACCTCAGTGTTGCACAGATAATATCTTTTACATCTTTCCTGTAGGATGTGGAACTGCCATTCCATTTTACACATGGAAAATCTGGCATGGAAGTCCAGGCATCTGCTAATTTGAGATACTTTGTGACCTGTTGATGTCTAAAATTCTTGACATTGTGTCATACTTGATATGTTTGAATCGTAGTTCCTATTTGCCTCAGTTGCAGCACAGTGCAAGTAATACTGTACAGTACCAGAGAAAATAAGGAACAGCAAATAATTTGAAAAAAACCCTCTTCCTATCTTCACTAAATACATTGTGTCAGATGCATGATTATAATTGAGTTTTCTGGGGAGATGTATAGTCTTAATCAATTATTCTCAATGCCAGAGCAATTTTGTGGGAAACAGTGTATTAAAACTTGCATGTGCACACAGACAACTTCAGTCTTTCCCCTTCCCTGTGTTTTACTGTCTTTGCAAGGTAATGATCTGTTACACCATGTATTTTTGAAGAAGGAATGCTTATTAATAAATAATGAGTAATCTTCTTAAATATAGTGGTTTTCACATAAGTGTTCGCTGTGTCTGTATGTGTGCATGTAAGCCAAAAGTTTACCTAACTTTTGGTAAGGTGAGTAGAAGAAAATTATTGTATTACAAACAGAATTTCTTTAAGATTATTAGTGTTATCAAATCATCATGCTTGCATCACTTAATAACAGCGTTTGATATTAGCAATTTAAAACAATTTTTCTTAAAATGTCTGTTTAAAACATGTCTGGATTTTGTCACTCAATGCCAAGGACAGGTTTGCACTAGAACCAAGAGGTAGTAATTTACAGCAACATATAGACCTGAAGTGCACAGCATGCAAGATGTCTACAAAAATAACTTACAGCCCTTTTAAACACTTGATCCACTAGTAAATCTGTCTGCAATTTTCATCAGCGTTCTCATTGATATTCCTAGTTGAGTGTGTATTGCAGCTCTCTCTTTCTGGGGTATGAACCTAAATATTCTCATAAGTGTTGTGGAGTGCTGGAGAAGACTGCTAAGAATAGGGATCATTCATGCCTTTATATCCTAACAACAAAATGAAGACCAGCATACTTTATTTTTGAAATCCAACATTTTCTTTCTGCTGTGAAGTTGAAATTATGCAGAAGTCTCTCTGTAGCATCTTTTTACAAGAAAGCTGGGTCATTTTAATAGTTTAGGCATTAGGAAGACCCCATGCCACTAAAAAATGGCACTATAAGGAATGCAGTATTTTGAATGGGAAAACTGAAAGATTTTCTGAACTGTTTCATTGCAGGAATTGATATGACTGGTTTTGGATTTTGCAGTTTCAGAGTTAACTAAATTATTTTTGTCTAAGGGGAAAAATGTTATGCAAGAAGCTTGTGTATTTTGGAGCAGTAATTTGTAGAGCTATGTTTACATCATGAACAACGAAATATTCTGGTTGGAAACAGCATTATCAAAAATGGAGAAGCAGTTGTCATTACACTTAAGCACGATTAATTGCTTGAATTTAGTATTAATTCAAGTACTGTCTGTTCTCAACAGTTTGCTCCTTGAGGTTGTCATCCCTATTGCAGATTCTTATCATGTGTAGTGATGAATTCCAGATGTTCTTGTACTCATAGTGTAGTCGCAGGGAGTGAAAATGAGCATATTGCAAATTAGGACTTAGATTTGACAGTTCATACTTGTTCAGTCCAGTAACTTGATAATGTAAGTAGAGAAATGGTTGTACTGAGAACTGTGGGGTTTTCTGAGTAACAGGCATGTTTGCTGTTTTACATGAAACAGAACGGTTAAGGTTTCGTACAGGAGAGTGTCTTACCTTCAGGAGATATTGGTATAAACAAAGTGTGTACTTTTTGGTTCATAAGACTGAGTTTTCCCTTTATTTTGCCAGGATGTCCTGATGAGTCTGGCCAAAGCTGTTGCAAATGCTGCTGCCATGTTGGTGCTAAAGGCCAAGAACGTGGCTCAGGTGGCTGAGGACACAGTCCTGCAGAACAGGGTCATTGCTGCTGCTACCCAGTGCGCGCTCTCTACGTCCCAGCTCGTGGCGTGTGCGAAGGTGAGGTGAGGCCAGCAGTGTTGGTGAGGTCGCAAGGCATGGGTTTGGGTGCATGCTGCTCTGTTCCCAGTCATCTTGGGCAAGATGCTGTGTTAATATAAAAGCTCAAGATTTATGCAATATCTAAGCTGCTGATCCCATAATGGTGGCAACCAGCAGCCCAGAGGATGTGAAGCATTGCTGTTATCTCCAAAGAGGGTTCCACAGGTAATAGAGCTCATCTGATGAGTTAATAATATTTGTAAAATAAAAAAGTGTAAAATATTTATTCAAGAAGTACAGCTTGACTATGCAAGTTTTTTTTATAAAGCCAAGAACTAGGATGGGTTCACCTCATCTAAAGCTAAATAATTAAAATTTGGCATCATTTCTGAAAATAAGATCAAGTTGGTGATAATTAATTTTTAAATATAGCTGCACTAATTTACAGTAGTCCAGTTATTTTAATAGATCTGTTGCTTGGCTGAGTCCTCATTTTCAATGTAAGCAAATTGCAAAGGAGTTGAGATCAGACCTTTAATTCCAAAGTCTGCATTTGAATCATTACATCTTCTACAGCCTGTTTTATCTTTAAAATAAATAAATACTTATTTAATTTTAAAAATTAAATAGTTTGTGTTTCCTGCTAGAATGCTATTTTATAAGTTTCTGGGGAAGTGGGTTTTCAGCTGTTGTGAAACATGCAGAAGGTTTGTGATAAAGTTAATAGCAGTTATTAGGTATTAAGTACTCTATATTTTCTACATTCTTTCTCTGGTTTCAAAGACTTCTTGTAATGCATATATTTATATGAATTTTCGTTATTTGAGCTTGATGTTCTTATTGCCCGTGAATTTCTTCAATATGGTATAAAATACCCAGTAAGCTTCCTGTTTTTGTCATGACACACATGCCTTTCCCACTTCTAAATGCTGTCCAGATCTAGATATGCATAAACAAAATGGGAGGGGGTTGTTTATAATCTGTAATTACAGGGTTTATTATTTGTCTTTTGGCAGGTCCCAAGCACTACTTGTATTTAAACAAACAAAAAACTGATATAAGAACGATTTACAAGACCAGTTCAAATTTAGATGTCATTTTGGATGAAATTCTAAGATACAGAGGTCTGCTGGTGGATGTAGTTACTTTGGAGGAGTTTGGCTCATGTCTGCTCCCCAGAACCACTGTCTAGTATTTTCTCCATTCAGTAGCTGCTGAAGAAACATAAAACAAGATGGAGGCTTCCATTCTGAGAGACTATATTGAGATTAAATTAACAATATGCAGAGCCTAGATTCCTAATATAGATGTCTAAAGCTACCTGTTAAAATACTTCCTTTCAGGGTTTTCTGTCTAGGGAAATTTAAGTTAGATTACAAACTAATGTAGTGGATGCTTCACTTGTTAGCAGTCAGGAAATTTGCAAATAAATTGCCTTCTCTGAATGCTTTGTGTCCTTTCCCCACCCAGGTTGTGAGTCCCACCATCAGCTCTCCAGTGTGCCAGGAACAGCTGATAGAGGCAGGGAAACTGGTAGACCGTTCAGTGGAGAACTGTGTGAGGGCCTGCCAGGCTGCCACAGATGACACTGAGTTACTGAAGCAGGTCAGTGCAGCTGCCGGCATTGTCAGCCAGGCCCTGAATGACCTCTTGCAGCACGTCCGCCAGTTCGCGAGCAGGGGAGAGCCCATCGGGCGCTATGACCAGGCTACCGATACCATCATGTGTGTCACAGAGAGTATTTTCAGTTCCATGGGAGATGCTGGTAAGTTTCTGTAAAGGACAGGAGCTCTTCATCATTCAGAGATGTGCACATTTCAAATAATGGAAGTAAAAAACCTTCTCTGAAGTGTACTGTGCTTCTAGAACTGTGCTGTCATGACAGGTAGTCGTTCAACCCATAATATGAAATCAGCACAATGTTCAGAGTCAAATATCTTGGTGAGCAATACTCAATTTTCAGTAGAAGGCATTCAGATTCCAGTCTGCGTTTCCAATTGATCATTGCACTCCTGTGGTTGCAATTTTAACAGCAGAGAGACTCTGGGTTGTGACTATTTTATTATTGCCAAGCAGGTTATTCTTTTTGTTTGATATACTGGCTCAATACTGTAAGGAAGGCATTTAAAGGAATTTTTTCAAGTAGAATATTTGGACTGGGAGCTGGGTTAGCCATTATTGGTAAAATATTTGATTGCAAAATTACATACCAGGAAATAGTTGAGAATGCAAAGACTACGGGTTTTTTAATCCCCACTGTAGCAGTTTCCTCCATTTGTTGTGATGCAAGATTTTGTTTATGAAGTTTCTAAGTTTTAACTATTTGTGTATCATTTCCAAATCAAAAGAACACTTCAGTGAATGTAACTTTATTTTTGTCTTGCTGAGATGACTTTTGAAACCAAAACTGAAATGCAGGCAAGAGGAAAGTAAAAATGTAACTGTATGCCACAGGTGAGATGGTGCGGCAGGCTCGGGTGCTGGCTCAAGCCACTTCTGATCTCGTCAATGCCATGAGGTCAGATGCTGAGGCAGAAATTGACATGGAAAACTCTAAGAAGCTTCTGGCTGCTGCAAAACTCCTGGCAGATTCTACAGCCCGCATGGTTGAAGCTGCAAAGGTATCAGGAGAATGAACTGTCAGCTTTAAATTGTATGGTTATACACAAAGAACAGGTTGTATGTGGGATATTACAGATCGGAACTGGCTAGTAGTAAAGATAGTTTTTCTTATCTTGTAAATGTTATCTGTTCAATGAGTTATTGTAGGTCTTTTCAGAAAAAACAAAAACCGAATTTCTCAGTTACCTTTAAAAAAAACAAACACAAAACAACAAACCAGCAAAACCTTCTTGCACTCCTTTACTCACCTGTGTACAGGGTGGTCATGAGTCAAGCCATCTAGGGCAGTTACCACCAGCCTACTACTGTCATGCAAAGTCTTGTACCAGTCTACCAATACAAATGGAAGAACAAACCCATAGCAATCTTAAATACCTTAAAAGTCTTAAAAATATCTCTTACAAGAGCCATAAACAAAACACTTCTGCCTCTGTTTCCCTTAGAAACGGTTGCTTCTACCTGGGGAATCTTGCCTGTGTTGTTCCCCCCCAGATCCCCTGTTCTAACAAGACAGGCAAATTATCTGTTTCTTTTGGTGCTAGAAACCTGTTTAAATCCACCAGGGAGGAATATGTTCTTGGAATTGTTTCCCAGATACTGCACCAAGATGATTTTTACAGATCAGGGCCAGCCATTTCGTCAGGGCTCTGGAGGGCTCATGCCTGGCTAAGGAGCATATCCCAAGGTTTTTTTCATAAGCGCCTAAAGTAGTATGTGAAGCAAATGTTCAACTCCCTGCCTCAGAGTATTTAACATATATCAGTAACAGCCTTGCACTGGCAATAAATTTTCAACTTAAAAGTCTTTTAACAATGTAATGAATGTTAATTTTATTAATGTTAATGTAATTCTAGTTAATATAAGGAGAATAAAGGCTGATGTATCTGACCCTGTCTGGAGCTAAAACATTGATATTCATCTACGTTTTCTCCTGGAACTTTTACTGAAATTTGTCTTTGCTCTGAAATTCTGTGCAGGGAGCTGCAGCCAATCCTGAAAACGAGGATCAGCAGCAGCGTCTGAGGGAAGCAGCAGAGGGGCTGCGGGTTGCGACAAATGCTGCTGCACAGAACGCCATCAAGAAGAAGATTGTCAACAGATTAGAGGTTGGAAACGAGATGTTGTTGAATTTTCAGTTTACTCTGTCTTGATAATTAATATCTGTAGATTATGTCAAGCAAGTAGAAAAATGGGTATTTCAGGATAAGTGCTAAGCATAGAATGGTAGCACTGTAAGCTCTGTACCAGAGTACAAGGCTTGGAATTAGAAATGCTTGTACATGATACCATCATCTTCAAAAACAGAGCAACTTCTCTCACTGATGTAATGAAGTGGTGTAAGAATTTGACTCAGAAGGCATTTGATGGTGACTTAGCCATAAAATTAGGACAGCTGAGCTTTCAAACAGCTGAGCTGATACTATTGATTACTGTTCTAATTTATCTGTATAATCTGTCATTTATACCCATCATCTTTTGTTGGTTTTACTAGTGTATCTGCCAGTTTCATGTAAATTACCATACAAAGTTGTGTTGAATAGCACCATGTCCAATCCAACTGATAAGTTGTTCAGAGAATCAAAGCAGCAGAAATAAAAGTGAAGAGATGCATTGTATCTAGCAGCACAGCCAAGGGGAAGGAAAGCAATTTACTGTGCAGTAAAGATAAAATATCTTTGAAGTTTATCTTGTAGGCAAGGTTTAATTTTCCCATTATCAGCTACAACGTAGAAAAAATAGATTGAAAAAAAAAGAAACTTTTTGTAATTCCTGGTTTGCAGCTGTGGTTTTACAGTAGTCTGATTCAAATGGAATGAGATTAGACAAATAAGATCATCTAAGCAGGTAACCATGTTCCAGAAGTGCATTTAAATTACTTTATCTGCCTAGATCCAAAGATCAGGAGTATTTCATGAAATAAAGGCTGTTGTCTCAATTTTCTAACTACATTCAAGAAAGCTTTTAGGAAGGATTTTTTCTTTTGTTTCATTGTTATAATATATCCTGCCTTGCAAAAGGCATCACAGAAACGTGTAACGATGAGAATGAACTTGATGCTTGGTTGTATTTAGTGGGGCAATCAAAGAAAGGTATTGTACAACATGTGGGAATACTTTGGGTAAACTATTACATTTTTAATTTTGTAATAGGTAGACGTTGCTAATAAGACTTCTAGACATTTGAATACGGTTGTCCTAATGGTTTTAGACTTGGTAATAACAGTATTTTGTATCTCTGCATTGTTTTAAGACCTCTGTGTTTGCCACAGAGCAGTCTCAGTAGAAGCTGACTTCCTTTAGTCAGAGGTGTTAATGTAGCTACTTGATTAGACAATTTCTGCTCTCTGTAATTTACTACTTTTGGTCATATTGCAGCCTAAGCTATGAAGAAGTAAGAGCACAGAATCCTTCTAGTTCCACCTTTTCCTTTTTATTGGCAAATAGAGATAGATGACATGGTTCAGCTCATTTTCATCTTGAGAGAAGGGCAACCCTGAGTTTCCTTAAGGCAAATCAAATTATTCAAGAATATAGTGTACTAATCTGTTAAAATTGTTACTATCAAAGTTACCTATAATATATATTTCATCCTCTGAATTACTCAGACTTTTACTACTGATTTAATTGTTTCTTTTTCTCCAAAGATTGCAGCTAAACAAGCTGCAGCTGCTGCTACTCAGACTATTGCAGCTTCTCAGAATGCAGCTGTTTCAAATAAGAACACAGCAGCCCACCAGCAACTTGTGCAGAGCTGTAAGGTAAACATATTCCAACTCACTGACAAATGACTCCTGAACTCTTCTTTATGGGGAATTGAAGGTCATGTTTTGTAATAATACTATAATGCTGTTGCAAACTTGAAAGGAGATTTAAAAACAACACAAAATGAAAAACCCAACCAAAATACACAACAACCAAACCCAACACCAAGCATATTTATCTGTATGGTAACATTTGAGTTTTCTGAAACAAAGGCTGAAGTAGCAGTAGTGATTTATACTATAATGGAAAGAAATCCTTATTTCATGTAGTGGCTATATAACCACATACGTCCTGCTATTCTGGTGTTCAGCCTACAAGCAACTGTGGCCTTAATTATCACTGTAAAGAATAAGTTATAAACCTTAGTATGGAGTTAACATGATTCCTAGCTTGAAGTTAAAGCTTCCACGACCTCAGATTCAAGATATGTCTGAAGTCAAGCACATTTTTATCATTCTAGGCTAGAATTCAGAGTCTGATGAAAAGCTGTTCTCTTTTGTTAGTTACATTTGGCAGCTTAATTCTACCAAACTATTGTTTCAGGGTTTTTAAATAAATTGCAATTAAAAAATTGGAGAAGGCAGTAAATTGCAAAAGGTGTTTTTTTTCTGGATGGAAGAGCAGTTATGTGGGGAATGAGTAAAAAAAAAACCAAACTATTAAAGAAGGCATCATTAAAAGCCACATCATCCATTATTTATTTTCATGGTGGTGTTCCTAAGAAATATTTCAATTAAATAAGGTAGTTTAAGTACACTTCAAGATTGTGTTGTAGGCAGCTGTTATTTCAGTATGATTATTTTAAAAAGCAAGCTGATTCACTGTGTTGTTTACAGTTTCTTCTAATTTGATCATGGTGATGACTTATCAGACAGCAAAAAAGATCTTAGACCTACTTTTTAGGGGCAGAAAAAGTTATTTATATTGCATTGCTGAGGTAAGTGCTGTTGTGAAATGATCGGACAAGAAGCATGAATCTGGGCAGCCCAGAAATACAATTTTAGCAATACACACTTCAGAATGCTCCAGCCATACTATAAAGTTTGCATTGTTAGAAGTCAAGGAAAAGTCAAGACTCAGATGCTTTGTGCTTTCTTAAAAGTAGGGTGGCTCTGAAAAATCATACTGTGCTTTAATTCAGTTCTGTGGAATCTTAAACTAATTCTGTGAAGACACAAGAGTATTTCACTTGTGAATACTACAGGTTGTCTTTAAGAGGGATGGGAAGAGGGCTTGCTTTAATGTAAGAGGGTTTGGAGGTTTTATTTGCCTACTAATAGCTTCTCCCTTTGTTTATTATAGAATGTTGCAGACCACATTCCTCAGTTGGTGCAGGGTGTAAGAGGAAGTCAAGCTCAGGCAGAAGACCTCAGTGCCCAGCTTGCTTTAATAAATTCCAGCCAGAACTTCCTTCAGGTGAAGTGAATCAGTCCCTGTAGTAGATTACATCAGAACAAAGAGCATTTTTCTAGTGCTGTATGGGTTTTTTTGTGATTAAAAAAGCAGTAAACTGTGAAGAACCATGTGCAGAAGGTCATCACTGACATGGCTAAGGAGAATTCAGTCCCTCTGATCAGAGGGCTCAAGTATGTTGAATGAGTGGAGACTGAAAACTGCCAGATTTGGCATCAGTCAGTTCTGCCTTAAATGTGGAATGAAAATGAACCCTTTTATTCGTTCCTGTTAGCAGGTTCTTTATGGTCCCATGTAGGCAGAAGTATCACAGTGCTCTCATTCTGAGTGTTTTGCTATATGATTCCCTCTGGAGTTACTGAAGTGATGTATCTCCTCTCTAACTGTATGTGTGATGGCAAGAATCAGCAGAGTATTTTGATTGTGTTAGCAGCAAACTCTGTGAAAAGGCATTGCTGGAATTACAAGTTCCCATTTATAGAATTTTGGCAGTTTAATATTTAGAAACATTGAAACAATGCCATCTGTGCCTCCTGGACCTGCTCATACCACATGGATGGTAAATGGCAAAACTGCACATTTAGCTGTCTTTAAGTAGTCTAAGCTAGTGTGTAGAAGGTGCATGGGTAAGGAGCAGGGAAGTGCATGAAGTGGTCAACACAGAAAAGCCAGAAACCTCATGAGTTTGTGAATGGAGAAAGCACTTGGTTTATTGAGTTCTAAGCCTGCTTTAAAGAAAAATGAGGCAGTAAAACTAATTGTTCACTGCTTTTCTTTGAACAGCCTGGAAGTAAAATGGTGGCATCTGCTAAAGCTGCAGTCCCCACTGTGACTGATCAAGCAGCAGCAATGCAGCTAAGTCAGTGTGCCAAGAACCTTGCGACCAGCTTAGCTGAGCTACGAACTGCCTCCCAGAAGGTAGGTGGGCACAAGTTTTAATCAGACAGAGCAAGCTGGCTTGGATGGTGGTCAGAGGCTCTATCCTGCTTGACCCACTGTCTTCCTCAAGGGAATAGCTCATGCTCAAGCAAAAGTCACTTCTCAGTCTTGCTTTTTGTGCAGTTTGCTCAGACTGCTGTGTGGCTGTTCTAGTATCTGAAGGAGACCAGGGTAAGGGGAGCATATCTCATGCACCTGCCAAACTGAAGACAACCCAGATTCAGCACTGCTGTGGCCAGTTTTGTGACTGTGAGCTAGAGCTATCACCTCTAAAATTCAGGACAGCAGAGGCTATCTGTGCTCCACTCACAGATTTCTGAACTATGTATGGGTTAAAAAAAAAAAAGTGTGAATGGAGAAAGCACTTGGTTTATTGAGTTCTAAGCCTGCTTTAAAGAAAAATGAGGCAGTAAAACTAATTGTTCACTGCTTTTCTTTGAACAGCCTGGAAGTAAAATGGTGGCATCTGCTAAAGCTGCAGTCCCCACTGTGACTGATCAAGCAGCAGCAATGCAGCTAAGTCAGTGTGCCAAGAACCTTGCGACCAGCTTAGCTGAGCTACGAACTGCCTCCCAGAAGGTAGGTGGGCACAAGTTTTAATCAGACAGAGCAAGCTGGCTTGGATGGTGGTCAGAGGCTCTATCCTGCTTGACCCACTGTCTTCCTCAAGGGAATAGCTCATGCTCAAGCAAAAGTCACTTCTCAGTCTTGCTTTTTGTGCAGTTTGCTCAGACTGCTGTGTGGCTGTTCTAGTATCTGAAGGAGACCAGGGTAAGGGGAGCATATCTCATGCACCTGCCAAACTGAAGACAACCCAGATTCAGCACTGCTGTGGCCAGTTTTGTGACTGTGAGCTAGAGCTATCACCTCTAAAATTCAGGACAGCAGAGGCTATCTGTGCTCCACTCACAGATTTCTGAACTATGTATGGGTTAAAAAAAAAAAAGAAAAAAAAAAAAGTGGGAATTCTGCATTTTATGTGTGTGTACACTGTGGCCCACAAAACAGGATTGCAGCATTTAGGTGGCTACACCTGAGCACATGTTAAAATTTCCAGCTCAGGTACTGATGACTGTGGGCTGCCACATCAGGAGGGTTTGGTGTGAGTCGTCACAGTGCGGTTAGGCTGTTTGTCAAAGGTGAGGTCCATACTTCAGCCCTTATTTTCTCAGTACCTGGACTGCTTCGTGTGAAAGTGTGTACACAAGCTACATGCATCTCAGCCCCTGATGGCTCTTAATGTGTTATTCTATTCACAAGCTAAGAATATTGTGCGGGAGTTGGGAATTGATGTGTAACGCTTGAAGTGTCCACAATGGCCTTGAATGTCATGAAAGCAGTAATTTGAGAGGGGGAGATTATATCAGAGACGTTTATTACTTGTCATAGTGGCTTACAGCTGCTAACTGACATTGTTCTGATTTCTGAATAGGCTCATGAAGCATGTGGCCCAATGGAAATTGATTCTGCTTTGAATACAGTCCAGACACTCAAAAATGAACTGCAAGATGCGAAGATGGCAGCTGTGGATGGACAGTTAAAACCTCTTCCTGGAGAAACTGTAATTGAGGAAGGATATTCTTCATTTAAAAACAAACAAACAAAGTTAGCTGTTAATAATCTTAAGTATTAGAGCCAAAATGAGTAGTGAGGCTTTGCATAAAGATGGCACTGATAGGATTTTGCAGTAATATCTTTACAAAGCTTGTATATTCCAACTACACCAGAAGCATGTTCTGTAGCAGCATTACTGATAGGGCTGTAGAGTCTCCTTCACTATTGAACGAATTAGTTTAGTAGCAGCAATGTTTCAGTCTTTTCTTGTTGAAAAGAATTGCTTTTCAACAGTGAAAGAGATGAGAACTCAGTAGTTATAAGACTACCAGAACTAGTAGGCTTCAAAAATGAAATATTTTATTTGGCAAAAACTCCTCCTCAGATGAAGGTACTGATTTCTATTGCTAATTATGAAATAATTTTCTTCATATTACCCGATGTGGTAGTTTACTTCACCCTGAAAAGGGAAAGAAAGCATGCCAGTCAGGTGTCAGACAAACTGTGTTCAGTAGTTGAGGTAAAAGCTTGGGTTTTGTGCAATGAGGAAATTTTTTTAGTAGTATTTAAAAAAAAACAAGTGTGATTTAATTAAGCTTAAAGAATGTTGTCTTTTGTAATTTATCACAGCTTGAGAAATGTGCTCAGGACCTGGGAAGTACATCCAAAGCAGTTGGTTCATCAATGGCCCAGCTGTTAACTTGTGCTGCTCAAGGCAACGAGCACTACACAGGTAATGTTTTATTCATAATACCTCTGCAAACACTCTGCTTTCCATAAAATACCTGGTAGAAGATTTTCCTATCACAGTCTACTTGAATCAAGGAATCACTACTGTTTTGTTTTATTTTTATGCTGATACTGAATTGTGGCAAGTTACTAGGAATTGCTAGTGTGAATTATGTGCTTCAGAAAAGAACAGTGTTGCAGTGTGGCTGTATATAATCGGAATAGAATGAGACATCTGTTGTTGTTGTAAATATATGACCCTGAAACTCTGTGAAGGGCAGAACTAAGAAGTCGTGCATCTTAAAGGTCAGTGCCACTGGAAATGTTTCTGTATCCTTTCAGAAGGATAAAAGGGTATTTGGAATTCACAGGATTCAAATATATTTGGTATAGCTTGGTGATGTTTAAAACAGTATCTCTTACTAGATATTACCGGTCTGTATGTGTATAAAGCAGGTAGTGTTTCTGACTCATTGATTATGTTGGGATAGTTTGGGAATGTGGGCACACAGATTCTGCAATTTGTTTTTTACCTGTTCAGAACCCCAAAGCACCTTAATAAAGAATATGTCCTTGGGAGAGGGAGTTTCCCCTTTCATTTCTTTCTGGAAGAAATGAAAGCTCTTGATGCAAATGCTACTGTAGGATTTGTTTTATTATTACTGATAAAACACATTATGGCAATTGCCACTTAATTGGGTATAATTACATCAGGGCTACATAATTTAAATTTGCTTTAATTTGAAGCAGATGTAGTTGCATTAAAATGGCTTGTGTTTCTGTTACATAGCTATGCAAAAGTTAGCACTGGGTGTCTGGTGAAAGAATGCAGGTACTTGCCAGCAGATACTGAATAAATTCATCTAGTAGCTCTCAACATCAAGCTATAGGAGCTGTTTGGTTGGGAAATCCTACAAAGTAGTAAGTTCCTTTTCAAAGCTCATAGCACTGTTTTTTCTCAAATACTGTCTTGTTATATAAAAACCAGTATGTGCTCAAGCAAGCAGAGTCAAGGTATTATGACCTTTTCCCATTTCTCTATGATAAAAATTCTTTGCAGCTTATATTTAATAATTCCTAGCTGTCTGCACATGTCACAGTAAGTTTATATTCACTTTGTACTTAGTCATTGTAGAGGATGAAAGCAGCACCAAACTGAAAGTAAACAATCAGACCTTTTTATTTTGTGGTGCTGTGATAATTAAGTCTAACTTAGAAGATGCTTACTGGTACTCTAAAGGAAACAAAATGTGTGGGTATTTTTACTGATACTTTCTTCAAATTAATAACATAGAAAGCTCTCTGTGGTTTATCAAATAGAAGGGTTGTAACTGCAGTGTAGGTAGTACTGTTTCTCTGCCTAGCTTGAATTAAATAGGGCATATAATATCACTTGCTTTTCATTATCTGCCAGAGTTTCTGAGTCTAAAACTATTTGTTTGAGAAGAGAGAATGTTAAAGGTACTGGTGTTAAAATGCTTATATGGCTACTTTGTGAGTTGTATTTGGTTGTGATATCCCAGCTTTCTAAACATTTCCAAGAGAAATGTTAGAACATTTTAATTATTTTTATGCCTAAATATGGAGAATCAAGAGGTCTTGTATATCAAATGTGAACCTTCTTTCAGAGCTTTCTTTTGATAGAAATAGCATGATTTTAACATGATCCATAGCTTGAAGTATGAGTTTTTCCCCATTTCTGGTTTTAGTTTTTCTTCTTTTTCAGTGCTTCACTAAGATTTAGTCCCTGATGTAGAACTGTGCCTGGAATGTGGTCTTTGGGGTATAACGTTTACTGTACAGCTTCAGGCATTTCTCTAGGCAAATGATACTGTGCATTTCAAATGTGTTCATGTTCAATGATTTTCTTTTAAACTGCATTTGCAATAATATTTGGCAATGGGATCATTACCTGCAAATTTACCTGCCATAAAATACAAAGATCATCTTTAAAAGGGTACTAATAGGATCCTTGATGAAATCTAAACATAGGAGTTGCTGCCAGAGAAACTGCTCAGGCTTTGAAGACTTTGGCTCAGGCAGCACGAGGAGTCGCAGCATCTACTACTGACCCTGTGGCAGCACATGCCATGTTGGATTCAGCCAGGGATGTCATGGAAGGTTCTGCTATGCTTATTCAGGAGGCCAAGCAGGCCCTGGCTGCACCAGGGGATGCAGACAGTCAGCAGAGATTAGCCCAGGTAAGGTGTGACTTGAGAAGCCATGTGAAATATCAAACACTCAGTGAAATTTACTTAGAATGCAGCATTAAATAATGAGAGAGAACAGCAGAAAATAAAGGCTGCAAGGAGTGTCAGCTTTATATTCCTTCCTGCAGCTCTCAGGTAGTAACTTTGTGACTATGCTAAACAATGCAGATGGTGCCATGTATGGTATTTTAGTCATCTTCTAGAAAAATAAACTTATACAAAGATGGAGTTAAGTCCTTTTACCCACAACATGTTTCAGTAGGCTGCTTGACTGCAAAAACGAAACAACTATTAAACTGATCATATTCAAATAAAGCATTTGTATTCATGGTATATGCAAAAAATAAATGCATGTTTTCTACATATGTGGCACCACTGCTTTTGAACTGGTCTCAGAAGTTCTATAATTTGGTCTCAGAAGTTCTATAATTTTAAACCATTTCTTATGAGGAGACATTTGTTTTAACTGAGACTTTGTCTGAAAAAAAAAAAAAATAACATGTGAAGGATTTCTGTGATTAGGAAATTATTAACTTCAGGGGCATTCCCATCTCTGCAGTGCTGCAGCCTTTATCCCAGGCGCCAGGAGCAGTTGTGGAGCTGCCCTGCCAACATTATCCTGTCAAATGGGTGAGCATTAATAGCTGCTGCTGATAGGCTACAGGTGAGCAAGCCAAGGAAGTCACAAGCCTCAAAAATGGTCTTGTTAGAGTCAGAATGTAGGAATTTCTGTCTATAGAATGTACCTGCTATGAGATAATGACCACTTAAGCCTTTCTCAGTGTGAATGTGTTTGTGTTATAGGTGGCAAAAGCAGTGTCTCACTCCTTGAATAACTGCGTGAATTGTCTGCCTGGACAAAAGGATGTGGATGTGGCCTTGAAAAGTATTGGGGAATCTAGCAAGAAGCTCCTTGTTGATTCGGTGAGATGTCTTTTAACATAGACATAAATGTCAGAGAACTGAAAAGCAGATTGGGTTCCCCATGTGTCAAATTAGTAATGAGTAAGTGTGCCCTAAGTATACTTCAAATAGGTTTTGTTTAAGTTGATGCAGCTTTAAGTAGCTGTTACTTTGACTGAAATGCTGTTCTAGGTTATGGGAAAGGTGAACCATGGCTGTGGCATTTGAAGGCAGTATTAAAGTTGTTTTCATGGATCATCATTAGTTTGTTTTTTTGAAAACACCAATTGTGACTTAACATTTTGAAGAATGTTAAAATTAGAAAATTTTAATCCATCCCTCACCGAGAACTGATCAGTTCAAGGAGCATCATGGTCAGTCAAAAAATGTTTGGTGCATCTGTGCTTGTTTTGTGCAAGGAGAATTGTTCTGTTTAATGGCATCCATGTAGAAACCACCCCCGCCTTTGTGCTGTGATAATTTGCTGAAAGGTTATATGATTTGAACTATTTCTTTTTTCTACACCTACCAGTGATCCTGCAACCCAGTGAATGAAGGAACAATTGTATTTTGACATATTTGTGCAATGTTTTTTTGGTAAAAGCAGGTCATGAATTTAGAGTCATTGTGAAGAGCTGCTGGTACTTGGATGGTTTTGTGGAAGATGTTTGTGGAAATGAATTATAACTTGGGACACCAGAATTTTCCAATTTTTGTTACGAGTTCATCACTTCAGATTTCATAGTTGAACCATAAAATAGCTGTCATCATCTCTGTCCCTTCAAAGGCTTACACACTTGTCTGTCCCTTGAAAGAAACAGCAGAACTAAGGTTTTTGTATACATTTGCTTGACAGCTGTCCCATATTTGGACTATTCCTGATTGAGCACTGAATCACTAGCAGTCCAGTGGCACTACTCCATTCTAGCTTGTATGTGAATCTTGCTACTGTATTGCATTTCATGTTCTGGAATTGTGAAATGTCATGAACTTTGCATTTGTGAAGGGCTGGGGTGACATGACAGACAATGAAATATGTGACACTTTGTGTCTTACAGCTACCTCCAAGTTCTAAGTCATTTCAAGAAGCTCAGAGTGAACTGAACCAGGCAGCAGCAGACCTGAATCAGTCAGCAGGAGAAGTTGTCCATGCTACACGGGGCCAAAGTGGGGAACTGGCTGCAGCCTCTGGAAAATTCAGTGATGATTTTGATGAGTTTCTTGATGCTGGTATTGAAATGGCTGGCCAAGCACAAGTAAGTTTTTTTATCCTGCCAATTGGGACTAAGGATTATCTTGGGCATAGTATCCTGCAGTGTAGTACCCTGGTTATTTAGTAGCACAGTCCAATGTGATTGTGTGAGCCTATCCCAATATGACAGGTTACCTTTGCTATGGAGCAGCCATCTGGAACTAGTCATCCAGACTGAAGTGAACTCTGTTTTTGTATTTTATGGTGTGTGCTACTCTGGACCCGCTACAGAGTAGAGCAAGAATTTGAAGAAGGGTGGCTAAAATGCCATGTATCTGACAGCAAGTACTTGTCTTCTGTTTAGTGATTGAAAGTCTGGCAGAGTTCTGTTCTGATGAACTCAGTAATAATCAGGAATGTTGTCACATATTATCTGGGTTATTTTCAGTAGCCTAGGTACTCATTTGAAGTTGGAGATAGTTTCTTCAGTTTATTTTACTGGGTTTAGGTGGACTGAATTACACTAATTGGTCATTTGGAGGTGATTGAGCATAAAAAATCTCAGCATGTAAAAAAGGGTTATGTGCTAGGAGAACTTGCAGGGAAAAGAATCTGCAGACTGTTTTGCCCTGATTAGTAGGAAGCACTTGCAAACCCAAGAAATGATTGCCAAAAGAAAAGTATCCAGGAATTCTTGAGTGTGCCAGTCCCTTTAACTTATCAAGTGTCTCTGTAGAGCAGAAGCTTCATAGATAGAGCTGAACAGAGAGACTGGACAATGTCGATTATTCTCCCTCATAACTTAATAGGTCACGGTCTAGATCCATGAATTGAGTTAAGCACTAACTATCTGCTGAGTATCTGAAGCTGAGTAGGAGTAAAGTACCTGGCTATATTTTTACCCATAGGCTTGATTAATATTTAGAATATTTTGTCTGAGGGAATTCAGTGAAGGCAAAGTTAGAAATGATACTGCTAATAGCTACTTGATAGGAGTTTTCCAGCTGCTGATGAGCTTGTGACCCTTTCAGATTTGCTTATCTTGCTGAGAGGATGATAACCATCTCAGTTATTAATGACTGATCTTTCAACAGAAAATGCTTTCTGTCCATGTCTAGTTATATGGCCTAGACAGAAGCTGTATCAGGTATTTTGGATGCCCAGTAAAATGTGCTAGGGAGGAAGCAGCATGTATACACAAAGTAAAAGCTTTTCACAACAACTGAGTAATATGTAATTGCCTTATATAAAACCCAGGACAGACAGTTATAAAGAATGATTCACTTCTATTGATTGTTGACAGAAGAATGTAGCTTGAGCTGTTTGCTGTGATAATGCAGCACTTCTCTGTAACTTCATGTATGTGCACATTTTCCTTTTCAAGCAATGACTTAAAATAATTACTGCCACATCCAAGTCAGAATGTTTACTGAAGTGGGCTTATAGAAATGTATATTCTTGAGATAGAGGACTTTGTGGAGGGATCTTTCCATGTAAGTAATTCCAGTTGGGTGCTAGAGGGCCCATGGGTTATGCAGAGGATGCTAGAATACAGAGGGTGTACACTGACTGAATAATGTGGGTCATTTGTGCCAGGCAGAGATGTGTGAAAGTCTTGACAACAAAAGCATTGTTCAACAAGTAGTAAAGTTTCTCCGTCCCTCATTTGTGAATACCGCCATTGTTAGAAGCCAAAGCTATTTGTTACATGGGTTTCTTTTTCTGTTATGGAAGTGAAGCTAGAGGCACCTGTCTGGGTTTTGGTCCATGTCATTCTCCAGACTACGGTCCCCCTGCATGTCAGTGATTTCAGGTGGATAAACAAACTGGGTTTCCAAACGTGGTTTTACCACTCTCTCTTTATTGCAAACTCTACACTTAATGTTATGCTGCTGTGGCTTTCCAGACTAAAGAGGACCAGATTCAAGTAATTGGTAATCTCAAGAGCATCTCTATGGCTTCCAGCAAGCTCTTACTAGCTGCCAAGTCTCTCTCTGTTGATCCCGGAGCTCCTAATGCCAAGAACCTCTTAGCAGCAGCAGCAAGGTAAGGATGTGTTGCTTGCTTTACGCTTTTCTTAGGTATTTGCTTTTCTCTGGGATATTTATAATGTGTTATATCTTCTGCTATTGACAACTGAGTGGTTGGAACCTGCAGTTCTTTCAATGAAAGTAGGCTAGAGGAAAACTGCTTATTTTGGACTAGTTCCTTTACTGGCATAGCTTGTTACCCTTGGTGGAAATAAGAACCAACAATTGAAGAGCTGGCCTCGTTTTTGGAAGGGACTAGTCTGTTTTGTCTAACCTGTTTGGTTTTTTACCATCTGTGTTCTGGCAAGGCAGTAGCTAACAGTAAGCCTGTCAATCCCTGAAGAAGAAAAAAAATCTTACCTAAAATCCTGCTGTGGCTTCTTGCCGTTAACAGGGTGTGTGCATGATCAAGAACACTTGAAAGGATTAGATGCTATGTTTATTTGCTGTAAGATAAGCTTACTTTAACTATTCTGTCAGCCTTGCCTGGAATTTCCTTTCGTGGATCCTGTTTCTCAGTCAAGATGCTCAGTGTTTATGTGAAAAATATCACCACATTTTCAGTGTTTGACTGGATAATTGCTTCTCCTTCACTTTGTCAAATCCTTTTCACATTATTATCACACTTCTTATTCAATTATCTAAGATTGTAAATGGAATGGTCAAATACCAAGCTGAAAGGGGATGGCTGACGGTCAGACAGACATCATACTTAGGAATATCAACATTACATCAGATGAACATCTAAGATCGTGTGGATGTGACTTATAATATTGTCTTCCACAGTTTTTGCAGCATGTGGACATCAGATAACTGTGAAAAGTAAACACTGTTACCAATTTTCAGTTTAAGACACTAAGGAGGCATCTCATTTTCCTTTTCAAATCCTCTGTGGCTGCTTGTAACAACCTTGTCAGGGCTCTTTTCTCTTTCCCCGCC